AATCTAGCGAGAGATCATTATTAAAATAAGATTTTAATCTATCTCGTAATTATCGGATATTGCAATATGACGAGAGATCATTATTATAATGGCGACTTAATCTATTATTCCGATTTTTCATCTCGTCGGAATAGCTCGTGCTTCCATTATAATTTAGATCCATTCGTCTCTAATTCTAATTCGACCTTCTTTCTTATAAGAAATTGAAATATGATAAAATAATATAAATTCTTCAACATATATTTAATAAGAATATCTCCTCTCTATCTATTTTCCTTCTTACCTCCTAGTAATAAAATTATCCTTCTTAATTACGTAATCCTTTCGTATATATTTCGCGAATCAGAATCATTTTATTTATATCATCCATATTCCGTACGAATATAATTCAAATTATATCAAGTATATAAATTACAAAGATCGAATCAGAAATGAAAATTAAATATTCAAATTTTCGTAGTTCAAAATCGAATATATATATATATATATTTATTTGTTATATCTAAACCAAATTATTATGAATTTTATAAATTTCTTTTCATTTCATATTCATTAATTCAATATACGAATATATTTATTCAATTTCGAATCCTGTAGAAAAGTTTTCTCGAAATCTAAGCAATAAATCTATATAATATGAAATATTTCATGAATATATATATATATATATCGAGATATTTTATCTGCTAACCAAGATGAATGAACCTCTATATCTCAGTATCAATTACTATTTCTCCCTGCCGTCCGATTGTCAAGCAGCTCCGATGCGCTTTCACACCTCAGCTGCCCTCACACAGATGCTCAGATCAAGTCACAGGCCCCCTACATTGGGCCTCACGCCTTTTGGCCGCAAAAAGGCGGACCTGAGAGAGTTACCGTCCACAAGATCAAGATGTCTCTGTAATCCTCAGCGCAAACAGCCCCCCCCTCTCAGATACACCGTGTCAAGCTGTTCACAACTCGACTTAAAAGGGCTAGCCTTGGAGATTCAGCGCTGCTTCATATCAAAAAGCAGAACCATACTGTAGGTTGCGATGCACGACTTGACAAAGCCGAGAGGAAGCATCCGCAGCTTCGGGTCGAAGGTTTCAGGTCCATAGAAACACCATTACAAGGATAACTTCTTTAAAAACGGGAATTTGCTTATTCAGAGTCTGACGAGGCGGTTGAACGTGACGAGACATGTACTCGTCACCTGCTCTCCCCTCATTGCCAAGCTCAGATCGATGTTACGCAGGGACTCCAAGAGTGCCCTCATCCCTCTCAGCGTCTGGCTGGTGCAGATTCCGGGATCGCACTGTCGGGCCACATGACGTCCATGGGCGGGGGGAACAGGACCACCTGCTCATCTGACAATGGCTCGTAGGCGTCGAAGATGTAGTTCGGTCCTACGGCCGAACAGTTGTAGTAGCCACCACAGCAGCCACCAATTGTGTCTGGCATTGTTGCTCTCCGGCGAAGCTCATCATAGGCCTTCGTCTTGATGAGTTTACCATTCTGCATGTAAGCCACACGGCGCACGAGGTACTGATAATTCACTCCTGATTTCGGATCATTGTTGGTGTTGAAACCTATGCGAATCATGTCCCCTTCCGCCATCTCCACAACAGAACCATCTGGTCGAGTGATCTTCTCACCCTCTGTAGGCCTGTAGATCCATTGCGGGTTGATGTTGATCCACCTGTCGTTTGGGGAGATATTGAATGGCCATGCAGAAGCTGGAGAGCCGTTGAAATTGTTGCACAAGCAGACTGTTCCAATGCAAGATGGATCATTCGTCCAACTATACTTCGGCATGAAGTATCCTTGCTTTCCCGATACCCAATCCATGTCTTGAAATGTTAACAGCACTTCGGGGGCATAGTTGTCCTCCATCCAAAAGAGCCCTTTCAGAAACTCCGGAGTGTTGGGGTGCTCAACGCTCAGCATCCTCACAAACCAGTCGTCTGGATCGGAAAGCCTCACTGTTGCCAGGTCCGCAATCCGGGACTGCACGGCCTTTGCACAACAGCACGGAACCACTGGCTTCGCGCAGATAGGTGCCCGATGGGTAAAGAGGCTGTTGACGCACATGGAGAGGCGAGCGCCAAATCCGGAACAGCTGCTGACCAGCTGCGGTGGGTTGTAGAGCTGTGCCAACGGTATGGCAGCTGCTTCGAACTTGTTCCAATCCAAGTCTTTCAGCCAGTCTGGTGGCGGAGTACGGTTTTGAGCTGCCATGAGGCTCTGAGTCTCTGTCATGGCTGTAGAGGGCACCGGTAGGGTCCAGAGGACCACGGAACTAAATCACAACAACACAAACATGTCACATAAAAAAGGTTATCGTGCCCAATGCAGCATGTCAGTATGCGCACAATACCCTTGCTGGACCCAAGAGCAAGTTGCATGGTGCATGGAAACAGAAGAATAGAACACCGATCAGAGTAGGAAGAGTGACCGCGAGAGAGCATCCTTTTCCACATGACGACTCACTGCACAGTGCTCGACGGCAAAGATTGCAATGCCACAGAGCATGTCCAGGCGAAACACGTGTGGTCTTACCGAGCTGCCAAAGAGTGCAGCGCATCGGCATTGCTGACACTCGTGGCAGTTCTACCGCACCCAGGTCTCGACCGCCAGCGTGATCAAAGAGCTGCATCGCTCAGACTTGCTGGATGTTTGCAAATTCGGGCCTGGTGACCACGTGGAGAATCGATCCGATGCTCAATGTAGCTCGGTAACCCTTCATCTTCTCTGAACCTTTCTCGCTCACCACAGACAAATCAAAAGCTTCAGCTCAGCCTTGGGCTCGGCCCCAAGCGGCTTTTGCGAAGGCAATGCCCGTCCTGCGGTGAACAACAGCAAATAGTGCAAACACCGAAGAACAAAATGACATCCGTGACAACCACAGACACCACAGTCGACGTTGCCAGCGCACTAGCAAGAGCAGAAGCAATATCAGCAGCAATGTCACAGTGATGAATATGATTCGAGTCGCGTGTTGGTATTGGACCGTGGCAGAGGCACAATCTCCAAAGGCATGCAGGTGTGTTGTGCGAGGAAAGCAAGCCGGCTTCGACATGGACTGCTGTTCCAGGTTCTTTGCAGACAAGGTGACTGTCTTGGCCGGCGAAGGCGAGCTAGTCCTCCCCAACATTGCATAAGACCAACATTGCTTGACCATGCGTGAAGCTGCTGTTCTCACAAGAAGTGCAAAGTCTTTGGCAATGGCTAGTTCCGGCCCGCGACTTCTCTGCCTGCAGTCTGGTCTCGGGGTAGGAATGCAGCTACAAACACCTGAACTGACTGGCGAAGGTGTCCCTGCCACGGGTTGCACGGGATGCATGTGCGACTACAGCACTGCTTAAAGAAGAGGTCTGGTCAGCACTGGGAATTCTGTACAGTCTGTACAGGGCGTTGGCACTGCCCTAACCCCAGATTCAGTTGACACACGTCAGCAGCAGACACAGACACTCCAGTGCTCACTGCACCATGCTTCAAATTCTTAAAATAATACAATGCGCGGCACACGAACGAAAGCGTGACCACACGCACCATCTTGTTGACGACTCAGGCTCTGCTGCAGCTGAACTATAACACTACAGCGCGCATGGCATCGAGTGGGGGACGCTCGTTTGTTGCTCGATTAAGTTTCGAGCAATCACGCTTCCCAGCGTGAAGCTACAAGCTCAAGCTCATCTCACGAATCGGTAGAAGTATGTGGTCTTGTCATGCGCATCAGGCACGGCCAACTCCTGCACTCTGGTCCACTGGCATGGCTCATGTAACAGAAGTGCAGTGAACACTTCGCACCAACATGAACCCTAAAGGTACTATCAGCGCTCGTACCAGACCTACTAAACGACTACAACTAGCTCCACTACTATGAACACTGTGTTGCTGCTACTACTGCTGCTACTGCTTCTTCCGGTCGCAGCAGGAGGAACTCGCTTCGCGTCAGTGGCTGTCTAACAGGGCCCGCAACCCCGGCGCATCGCGCCCCTCGCAGACTTTTCGAGGTTCCAGAAATGGAACGATGCGATGCCCTCACTACTACTACTTCTACTGCTGCTACTACTGCTGCATGCATGACAGAACCACGGCAAGAACGATAGCTGAACCAATTGAAACCAAAAACCGACAGAGCGAAGGGGACCTTGAGGGGAGAGGAGGGGTGCTAGCCCCCCTTCCTAATCGAAAAGCTAAGTCTGGTTGAAGAGTCTAGCAAAAGGTGCGGGAGGGGGTGGGGCCAACCCCCTTGCGAACCTAGAGGTCCAAAGGGGGCCACCTTGCTAGTTTGTCCAACAAAGAAATTTGCAAACAACAACTCCTGCAAGCTCCAAGGAGCTAGCTTTCGTGACTACTACTACTACTACTATTACTACTACTACTACTACTACTACTACTACTACTACTGCTACTGCTGCTGCTGCTACTGCTACTGCTACTGCTACTGCTACTGCTACTGCTATGCTACTACTACTACTACTACTACTACTACTACTACTACTACTACTACTACTACTACTAGGACTAGGACTGGGACTGGGACTGGGACTGGGACTAGTCCTAGTCCTAGTCCTAGTACTAGTACCAGTACTACTACGACTTCGACTTCGACTTCTACACCTACTTCTACTTCTTCTGCTACAACCACGACCACCACCACCACTACTCCTGCTATTCCTACTACCCGTGCTGCTGCCGCTACTGCAACTGCTACCACGTGGACGACTACGACTACCTGATGTTAAACGTGGTTTTCCGATGTATGTTGAAACCCAAGCCTACGCTAGGAGAGGTACGGACACTTCACTGGAAGAGATCAGTCAAGTACTTAGAAGCCCACGGAACTGTCCATATCAACCCGCTGGCAAAATTTCGGCGAGGGAGCCTTTCCAGACCTTTGCAGGCAAGCACGTGCCGCAGGTTCCAGCTGTGCTGGGGCACACTCCTGAAGCAAGAAGGGAGGCCTTTGAGCTCATTGCAAGGATGGGTTACTCCAAGCACAGGCACCACTTCTCCTGCTGCTGCCCTTGCAACCTTCGATCCAAGCCTCGGCACTATCCCGACCCTCAACGGCCTTGAAGACGCGGCTGGCATCCTGCAGCAGGGACCGCAATCCAGCCAAAGCTGCCAAGCCTAGGCTGTGGTGGCTCACCCCGGCGAGGCCAACAAGGCTACAGAAGTCAGAGCGACCAGATTTGTCATCGCCCAGCGACTTCTGACTCTAACCACCAGCAGTACCACTGTGCCAGGTACCGTGACCGCTTTCAGTGCAGACAGCAGCGCCGAGGTGTCCTCACCTGACTTCTGACTTGTGTCTGGATGGGGCTGCAGCAGAAGCTCGCATTGGCAGTTGACGGTCAGGAGGCTTCGTGCAGCCAGGATTCTGTACACCACGTCGGTTGCTAACACGGTGGAAGCTCCACGACATTCTGCCGGCAGTTGCTCATGCCACTCCCAACGACTCGTACGAACTTCTAGCCCAGTCTCCTGGCAAGTGTTCAGATTGCATGAAGCAGCCCTGAGCACTTTGACGACGAATTCACATTGGCGCGCTAAGGCAGTCTCGTCCACTCGGTGGTGATTCTCCCTTTATCCGCTCCATCCTTTAGACTGGATACAGTAGCAAGACCAGCGGGTGAACTGTGGGGAAGGGATTGGGAAATCTCTGCGATCAGTCTGGCCGCCATCTCATGGAGACTGAGACACATCAGCTTGAAGCTTGAGATGACTCCCCTGCTTCGCGAGGCGTAGCTCCACTGCACAGGACAAGCGTGTTCAGAGATTGTTTCCCTGGCCGAAACCTGGCTGCTGCCCTGGCATCCGCTGCTGTTCTCAAACAGCAGCCCTCTCCTTGGCCGACTGCTGCACCACGCGCAAGGCGCGCTCGCTCCGATCTGTCAGGACAACCTGAACCGGCCACACGTGCACCGTGCCGTCTCGGCCGACTAGCTCCACGCCTTTGCTCCCAATGCCGCTGCAGTCAGTCCAGCGCAGCCCGTGCCACAGCCCAGCTCCACGACCTGCTGAGTCAAGTGCAACCGGTCTACACCGAAGCAGCTGGAACGGCCTTGGATCCCAGAAGGGATGGCTCCTCGCAAAGCCGTCTTGCCAGCAAGGCAGCGCAGTCATACATGACCTGCTACATATACGGAGATGGTATGAGCAGCTCACTTGACAAAGCTCAGCTCGCGACTCCGGCAATGCCCACGGAAGCATCTTGGTGCAACACCTTGCTTTCATCTCTGAGTGTGCCCAAGCCCGTCTCGCCGAGGTTTCAGCTTGATGGTATCTTGACTGTCCAGCACGTCGCAGACGCTGCTGCATCTGAGCCCTTCACTAGATGTAGCTTCTTGCCAGATGTTGGGACAAGGGTCAGTGTCAACCTGAACGGTCAGCAGCATCAGTTTATCACTGTCCGAGCAGCTAGCTCACATTCAACATTGCGTAACCTCCACCGCTAAGCTCTCATGTTGACAGATGCTTCTTGGGGGAACCACGTGTATCCGAGTGTATCCAACGGAAAGGATGCCACATAAATCGCTCTGCGGCCGGCCTTTCTTGTGTGTCCGGCGTATGTATGCATTCATAGATCAACAGAGTAGTTGTTGGCTTGAGCGACAATATACATCAATGATCATCAATGTAGTTCTAAATAAATAAATAAATAAATAAATATATATATATATATATATATATATATATATACACAAAAACACATACACATGCATGCACCTAAACACAACTGAATAGTAGGAGTCGTAGCGGCAGTCGTAATCGTAATCAAAGTAGGACTAGGAGTCGTAGTAGCAACTGCATGCAGTTGTAGGCATCGTTGCTGTAGCAGGATCAGTAGCAGTGGTGGTGGTGGTGGTGGTGGCGGATTGGTCGCAAACCTAGAGCAGCACATTCCGAATATAGATTAAGCAATTATCCAAAGCCGGCTTTTACATGTAAGCGATACCCGACATCGGCATGTTGCTGATCCCTGTTGTGTGATCTTGGGTTGGCTAAAAGTATGCGAAAAGTCATATCAACATGTCATGCCTGTCGCAATAAGTTGGCGAAGTGAAGAAGCCTTGCGCGAATGTGTGGCACGAAGAATTCCATAATGCGCATCGCTTAGGCAGTGTAACTGAACTAGTACGAAGCCCTTCGCTCCTCGCGGACGAAGTCAGTTCAGCAAGTGCATGGAACTGAAGAACTAGCGCCAACATCTCTCCAAAAGCTTCGTTCCAGTTTGCAGCAGTGCTGCAGCAGCAGTGGCGACAAACGCCATTGTTAATCGTTGCAGTGCAATACATAGGATAGACTTCGTGCACTTTTCGATTCCCTGCGCTGGCCTCTTGGCCTCAGCTCGCTCCAGGTCATCGAAGGAGCGAGGCGCCAGCTCAATGCGCAGCCCCATGAAAGCTCCAATACGCCTAATCCTCAAAGAGCCAAACAGCTGACGACATCACATGCATCACAGCATGCCCCATACACTCATACGCACATATCGAGCTCTATCCACCTCTTTCTCTTTCTATCTTGTCCGTCTCTGGCGCAGGGACTCAAACGTTACTCGGTTCACGGTTCACAAGAACTGACCTATAACCGCTTCAGGACCCCGATGTTCTCCTGTTGCCTGTTCAGTATGGGAACTTGCGCGGACCGTGTGAGGCTAGCCACATGGCGATGTCCCGTCCTGTATAAACCGAAGGTAGACGTTTGGAAGAGCCGTCACTTTTGCTTCGGTATCTGTAACAGTAACCGTATCTCTCTATAGTCTGTCCTCATTCAGATAGGTAGCCACCTCACCGACAAGCACACACACACACACACATACACACACATATATATGATCCCGGTTCGGCCGGCCCCTCCCCCCTCCGCCCCCCCAATGGTTCCTCCTCCCCCGCCTGTGGTGTGGTGTGGTTGTGGGTTGCTTCTCCCTCCCTGTGGTGTGGTGTGGTGTGGTTCGGGAGTGGGTCTGCTTGGGCTGGTTACCCCACCCCCCCCTGTGGTGTGGTGTGGTTTGGGTTTCCTGCGTGGGTCTGCTTGGCGTGTGAGCCCTCGTGCGGAAAAAGCTTGCACAGTCACGCACAGATTCGGCTTGGGGAGCGTGGGGGGGGGGGGATACCATTGCGTGGGGGGGGGGGGGGGGCCGGTGAACCGAGAACCGGGATCATTCATACATATACATATACATATACACATACATACATATATATATATGTATATTATATTGATTGATTGGTTTGGAGCCCAATTGGGTTCAAAACGATCTTGATTCTGTCGGAAGCAAGTGATTTCGTGCATGTTTGGTTCTGAATTTTTTCGCCGAAACGCGATACTGATGCTTGTGTCTGCTTCGTCTTGCAACTGTTAGTTGAAGCTGAAGATGGTCGGCATGTAACCCTCAAAGACATGCAACAACTGTTGTACATTGTTCATTCCAGCTGCACACCCGGTGCCCAGGAACTGATCTGCAGGTACGTTTTCCCGGCTACATCATACAGAGCTTCGTTGGCCCGAGCTGCATGATGTGCCCGACCCCCTGCATGCTGACGCAAGGTACTCTGGGTGACAGGGTTTCACACACACACACACGCACACAAACTCACACGAAGGTAAATATGGATGCGCATCTCCACAATGCGTTATGATATAGAATTCGGGTTGAGCTAGCACAGTCTGCCCAAATCTGATACTGGATTGCAGGGAAGTGAGCAGAAGCTCAAGAATACTCAAGACTTACGTGGGTAGCCTGCTTTTCAGGTTTGCCGGTGGGTCTTTTTGGATGTTCAAAGCTCACAGTCAATGAAGGGCCAAGAGGTTGCTGTGTTTCAGAAGGGGGACTGCCGCATACCTACTAATGTGGGTGCTTTATGGCGGATTAAGAAATGTCCTATGCTTGTTTCACGACCCCATGGTGCCTTGATGCCGGGGAGCTGTAGCAGTAAGAAGCAGCGATGCGACAGAAACAAGAAGACATATTTTGGGAAGGCGATGTGTGCAACGTTCACCTGGGCTGTTTGCAGTGCTTTGTCCAATACCGTCTCATCTCCTGTTTAACGAATCCAACAGAGCGGATGTTCCAGAACATGCACACCTGGCCTTGACCCTGTCGAAGGAGAATGGCTTCGGCTTCGGTCTTGTCGGGCGAGAGATAGCAGTTGCCTCTGTGCCTCTGCCACTAGAAGGAAGATGCTTCGCACAGGTTACTTTTGCAGGCCCAGGCACGTTCATGGGACACGGACACGCTGACGCTTTGGTGCCCAAAGCGGTGCACGCAAAGGCCCGGGCTCAGCCTGCAAAACTCGCTACTTCTCGTCCCAAATACAAATAGGAATCCGAAGCAGTCGCTGCCTGCATCTCATGCCTTCTGATGCCCTTGTGCCCATCTCACACTTCATGGAACCCGAATGGTATAGAGAACGCTCCAAGCCGAAGCCATCCAAGGCCCTGTTCCGATTCCTGATTCAAATTATCGGGAAGCCGTTTCTTGCAGGAGCTGGAGTTGCAGAGTTTCGGCCTGTGCAATAACTGCCGGCCCCGCCTCGCCGTGCTTTTGTGATTCCTTTTTGCATTGCCTTGAATGTCTCCGGTTGCGATTCTCATCTGACTTGTTTCTTTCAAAGAGCACCACGTGCGGTTCAACGCACTATCTGAATCCCGAAATGTGCACCATGTGGCCATGCCCTCTCCAAATTTCTACTTACCCTGTATGTCAATACAAGCCAGCATACTCCGTGCCCTCTGCGCATCCAGCTCGTATGCTGAAAGATACTTCGTCACTCTCGTCAACCAGGCCTGCTCTTCACGGCTGAAATCTGCGGCACCCATGTAAAGAACGATGTTCCGACCTCTGCTTGCAGCATTGAAGAAGAAGCGTTCTTCTTCACAGCGTGGGGTGTTGCCCGGCCAGCACTCTCCACTGAGCACACTACCTGCAAATGGCAGCCGTGCTGCTTTCATCCGAGCATCCTTTATGCATCGGGCGTCGATGTCTTGCAAGTTCTTAGCAAGGCCTTTTCTTGGCGAATTCCGCGAATCAGCATTGCTGTCCTTTTCCCGTAGGAAGCGCAAAAGTCCTGTGTATCCTGGAGGCACGGGCGGAAACAAGTCACAACATCCAGCTGCATTCACAAGCTAAATGTCGCGGAGCAGGAGCACATCCAGACGAGCGGCCGGCAACTCCGCTGCCATCCATGAGGCGTCGGTCGCTGAAGAGTGTTGGGAAAACGCAGCAGGGCACCACCTGGGCCGAAGACTCACGAGGAGACGACACGTGACGACGTGACGAGCTGCTGCTTCAAAGGTTCGGCGAAAGGGCAGCGGGCCAGAAGGGCCAAGTCCACCACCGCATCCGTGGCCTGAGAGTCGGCAAAAAAGTGCAGAGCCGTCCCCAACTCATCGGTTTTTGTGCTGCTGTCCTCGTCCGGGTGCATCGCCACCACGGCGCGGGCCTTGCTGACCAAGTCCCGAGATGAATCCTGTCTGTGTGGGCGTTGCAGTACATGTCAGAAAAGCATCGGAGTTGGTAAGAAGCTGGCATCAAAGTATGCCCTGACATGTCGCACGGGAGTTTCCGAGTGGATATCCTCCTGAGCTCGCTCGTTGCCCAGACCGTCATCTTCAGCAAAGCTTTCACACTATTCCAAACTTAGCATGTGCTTCCCGGCTTGGTATGCCTCACCCTCTGGAAGGAGGTCGGACATTTCAACCGTGGGCAGGCTCCTTAGACGTTATGCCCGTTTCGCCAATATATGCAAGTCTCTGACAGGCCAGGCAAGACAAGATTGAAGGTCAACACCCAAGGCGCTCAGAAGTTTGCCTGGGGTCGACTACTACCACGTCTGCGATGCCACGTGAGTGCAAAGCGAAAGCAAGAGCTCCTGCCGTCAAACTAGTGCACACACTGCCATGCACCCTCGCCGCGATGCTTTCATAATTCCAAAGCGTCCTTTTCCTCCGGCCACCTCAAGGATGTAGCCGGGGTTCGCGGAGCCCTCACAATGAGAAGTAGGAAGAGCAGCGCAGTGCACGAATTCCTACATCCATGAAGAAAGAAGCCGCCTCCGTTGATTGCAAGAGTTCTGCAGCAATGAAGCTGGCAAAAACGGCATGTCTCACGTCCTCGCATGTCCAATGCGAGCATGTATAGGCAGGCTTAACCGTCTCTCAAGTCGCAGAAATTAGTTTGGTGAGACATGTGGCATACGAAGGCCTTGCACTGCAGACTGCTGATATCATCTGTTCTTGCTCTGGTGCTAATGGACAGAAGCTGGTCTGCCTAAGGAAGCGCGAAATTCTGCAAAGAGACGGCCGGGCGGAATCGGAAGGCTTTGAGATGCTCCGAGCTGCTTGGAAGACCGGAGGCCCGCTCGCTTTGCTCGGGTCTTCCTCTACGAAAAAGGGAGACTTCTAAGAAGAGTCTACGGCCTCTAAAGCCTCTACAGAGCCTCTACATGCTTCTACCCTCCTGCCCTCGGCATAGTCCTGGCAAGCAATGCTGCAAGTCAGCGAGAAATCCTGCTTGGCCATGGCCAGTGCGCGGGTGCGTGGAAGCTTCTCCGCCAGCACCTGCGATCTTGGCAAAGAGTCGATGGATGATGATGCTCGTCTCGGCAAACAAAGTCCGAACCACCCGCGCAACAAGCGATGCAAGCACCTTCAAGTCAACTGCCCGACAACGCTCGTCGGATTCTTGGAAAACTACCTGAACTCGGTGGCCTTGTCAGGTCACAACGGTCATAACTTAGTCATACCGTAGCTCATTCTACGATGTCCGAGCGACCCTTCGCCTTCAGCGACGCCTGCCACGATGGCCAGCCTACGGCCGAAACTTCGATGCTGGTCGATAAGGCTCAGCGTTAGCAGCTTCCCCAGGTCGCCCTCAGTTGGGAACCAGCATTCAGGGAACGCGGCGGCGAGACCATGCCAAGAAGTCGCCTGCTCAGAAGACTCCCCCAATTCGGCCGAATGCAGCGAGAGCTCCAAGCCATCATGCTGCAAAGCTGTCATCTGGCCCTCCAAAACTTTACATTTGGATTCAAATTGCACCGATCTCTTGAACTTCACACAAGGTCAGTGAGGAAAGACTTTAATTCATTTGAAAAGGATGCCTAGCCTGAAGCTACAGCACTCCGGCCAAAAGGTCAGCCGGCGAGGGGACTTTCAAGCACATTGGAAGTGGTGAAAAATCTTAGCACCAACCATGCGTTCAGTCAAAATGCGGTTAAGTCGCTCCGCTCCGCCGCGGCAAGCTAATTTTATCTGTCTGGTCAAAGAGAGCTTCTTTGGCTGATCTGCCAACCAAGATGCTTCGCTGGCTCCTGCACAGGCGATGCTCATAACTCGTGGCTTTGCCGGCTCGAGAGTCGGCAGGTCCTGCACAGTGACTCAGCAGTTTGGGCAAGCCGATCCAGGTTGGCGCGACGTTGCTCTCGTCGTTTTTGGGCCTGCGACAGATGCTACCATGCAGACTCTCAGATTGCCTGCCGCAGCTGTCTGCGCATGTCCACAGCGAACTATGCCTCCTCGGGCTTGTGCAGCCCCAAAAGGATGCGATTCTTCGGCGTGATGGCCTTGCTGTTTGTGCACCACCGTGTCTGTTGTCCGCTGTGGGCTGCCAAGAGCCAGGCCGCATCGATTTGTCGCAGCCGGGCCTGGCCGGGCCGCAGATGCCACACTCGCAGTGACTCTCATATTCTTCTCTCCGACAGATGAGAGGCTGACGATGTAACCCGGCGCTGCATCGATCGCGCCCAAGCGCAGCATGTCGTAGGTAAGCCCACGGTCCAGCTGGTATTCCTTCAGGCTCCAACGACGAGCAGTACGCAAACTGGCATGAACAGCCATTCATCCCAGGTGCAGGCAGGCCTTGGCCAGCTTTCGCAGCATTTCTCCACGCGCTCCCTGCGCGAACACTACGCAACTAGGAGCAGTGTGCGCGCACCCAATCGCTAGCAGTATCCCGGCCTTCTCGCCATGGCAGCATGGCACTACGGCGAAGCTAACTTCTGCTTGCAAACACTCGTGAATCAGCTCATCTGCAAGAACTCCACAAGCGTGACACGCCGTGACCACGGTTTGAGCAGCTTCGACGCCAGCTTCTTCCATCAAGTTTCGCAGCCAGCCTGCAGTTCGCAGATCCACATGCCGATGTTCGATCTTTGCATCAGGAGCCCATGCTGCTCGGAGGTTGGAGTAACCTCTCGGCTGATAAATGTCTGCCACGATGGCCTGTTTAATGCGACCACTGGCGAGAAAGGCCATTGCAATACCTCCGTGACCGCCTGCAGCATCCACCAGCAGTTCATTATCTCCCAGCAGACGTCGAGTGCTGCGGTGAAATGCCAGGCATTCCTTGATTTCTTTGACTTCCGGCCTTGGAGAAGCGCATTTGTGCCAAGCTTGAAGCAAGCCAATTTCGAAGCGCCCTTGCCGTGTTCCCTCTCGTGCAAGCTCTGTCGGTCCTGCTCTCAAAACTCGCCACCTGCGCTTCCCCCGTGTGCAGCAGCACCGTCGACATCTCCAGCTCAACCCAGCGAGGATCAAGCGTGGGAAGCTCCAAAGGCAAGTTCTACTCAAGGATTGCGGCCAGGATGGCCAAACAAACGAGCGCCTGGGCTTCGTGCAACAAAAGGGCTCGCAGGGCCATACGCCCTTGAGCAACGGATTCTGAAGCATGGCCTCTCAAACCCAAGAGACACATCAGCTCTTATGCCGCTACGGCTGTGCAGCAAACGTCAAACTTTCCAGCCCCGTGACCTTGCACGCGATTGATTCGCGAACTCAAATGCGACCACATGTTGCTTTCTGCACTGCATCTTGAGGGTTCGGACTCGGGTGTAGTTGGCGATCAGATGCAAAGTCTACACGCATTCTGCCGCATCGACCTGTCCGCTTCCACATCGCGTGCCACGTGAGTCGCCTTTTCCCCGCAGTAGCCCACATCCCTGCTGCGGATGGCGACGATGGAGAGCTGCACCCAGTGACGCAATGGCCTCAAACACTTTCAGCATTTTTATTGGGTGGTTTGCGCTGCTTACGTCAGGAAGGCTACATCGCGCTGTCCAGTGTGGCATTGCTGGAGGCAAGCAAGGGGGCACAAACACAACTTTTTTCGCTCATCGCCCACGACCGTAATCCACCTGCTTTGGGACCTGCCAGGCTGACGAATGACGAAGCACAGCGTTTCGCAGCATCATTGCAGACTTGGACCTCGCAACGATGCAAATGCTCGTCGAGGTAGTGCTGCAGGATGACAATGGCATGGGACCCTGCCGGCTTATGCTGAGGGCTGTGGTCGTCTTAATGGGCGAGATGGGTGGACACCTAGCAAAGTGGTGCCGCCGAGGGAGGTGCGCACAATGTCCGCTTGCATGGAGCGCGCAACCTGCACACTTTGAAACGCTCTTGTCGAAAGTTGTGTCTACTTGTGTGGCACCTCCTCGTAGGCCTGGACGTCGTGAGGCCCGAAGCCGCGGTGGTCACCCACGACAGCTACGACACCCACGACGTTTGTCCTGGTGCTGTGCCACCTAAACACATGCTGCACAGCTGTGCTTCCCACCTGGAAACCTGCTTCAGCACTTCGGCTATCGGCTCCCCCTCTGCATCCAGCATCAACATGACCTGGATTCGACGATTCGACAGATCTTGCTGCCTGCATCAGCATCCACTTCGACATTGCCCGTAGGCTCATTCAATGATCTGTTCCCACAATGCTGTGCCTGACGTGCTTGCCCAGGCCGTGGGAACATCTTCAGGCGTGCTTACAAAAAGGAGGGACGCTTCCCTACGTGCTGAAAGTGAAACGGAGGAAACACGCAAGGAACTGTGTTGAAAGCAGCACGCGGAAGGACGATTACTATGGCAATGCCTGTCATCCCGTAAGCAAAGAAGCAGTAAATTTCGGGCTGCCAATTTGGCCCGAAACCTTAACGACAAGCCTGCACCCCAATTCCTCCTACTACCCCTGGAATCCCTTGGAGCCAAGTGGCAACGCGACCCTCAGCTGGTTCTGAAGGCTTTTTCTTCAGCGCGGCCTGAACCGATGAAACAAAGTTCGAATCTGCACCATCAAGGGTTGCAGGTTTGACCGGGGCATTACGTGGACTCAACGAGGCATCGGGCTCAAAACAACAAGCGCTCGACAGCGAAATCGCTAACAATTTTTGATGAGTGCCTTCTGCGAAGGCTGCAAGTCCCTCCTGAGATTGCACAGCTGCACCATCTTAAGCGCTAGGCTGACCACCACTTGTGACTCTCGCTTAGCTACCACTCCCTCCTTGCCCACCCTTTTCTTTGGACTCCTGTTTGCAAGAAGTCTTTTAATTTGTCAGTCTTAAGGGCCATCGACGGGTTCGAAATTGTATCGGCTAGCCGCTAGCCAAGCGACGGCACGGCTCCGAAATGAAAAGCAACCCCCTCGACCCCTTCGCGAAACGTGGTCTTCACCAAACCGACCCGGCCTTGAGTGCGGCCTTCGTAGACCGCTCTTTGACCTCCAGCCCTCTCAGGTTCGATGCACACCAAGCCTCTCCAGGCGCACACTGCGCTGCAGTGCATTTAAAACGGCCCTAATCGGCGGCTTCTTGCCGGCCTCTGGATCTTCGTCCGGGTCTGGCAAGCCTCGACCGGCGAAGTAAGATTCGAAGGCCTCGAAGACGCGGGAAGCCAGGCGTGGCTCGTCTGGCACCAGGCCTCCCACCGTTCCGCACGAGCCCTACACTCGCCCCAGGCCCCAGCCCAGCTCTCTCCCGATCGCCACTCTGCCTCGGGCCAACGCGCCCGAAACTTCGAGGGTGTGGTTGCTGGCTTCGAAGGACAAACAAACCTGCTCCCGCTTTTGCCAAGTGTTCAAACAGCTTGGCCAGGAACGTCCGTGCCTGCGTGTTACGCCGCAGCCCTTGGCTACGAAACAAAGCCGCAGAGACACAGCGCAAGCCCACATCAGCGCGACCGCAAGCTCGTGGATCATCAGCTGTGAACCTGTCTCTGGGCTTGGCTTGTAGGATTTGGCAGGATTGGCTGAGCCATGCAGCTGGAGAAAGCCAGAATATGTTTTCCTCCGAAGGGCGTTTGTGCATTTGCCCTCTGCAGGGGCAGCAGGAAGCGCCGCCAAAAACAAGGTGCTTTCGGCCTCCCATCGCTGCTAGTGCCAGTGTACAGACCACAATGTTGCAATCAGACTACGACGTTACACTACGCCGGACATCGGCACTGTGAGCTCAAAGCCTCGTGCCCTCGCAGGGCAGGAAGCGCTCCGAAGGCTTCGCACCAAAAGTGCAGCGCTTCGTGGTATGGCCCACCTACAGGCGCAAAAAGGCTAAGAAAGACGTGACAAATGCAGCAAAACCGCCAGTCTCAGATCAAAGAGTTGCCTTGCCACAATGATTGCAGCCTTCCAAGTTGGTGCTGTCATTGACCCTGGCAGGCAAGGGCAAGGGCTGTGGACCGATCCCCCACCCCTGCGTCCCAGGCCGCCTCTGTCCTTCCTCCTCGCAGCGGCTGAGGCGGCGAAATTCAGAGCTGGTTCGCTCTGGCGTCCCGGGAGGGGCCGCAACACTGGTAGCCTCTGTCTCGTTTCGCTTTCGCTTTCTTGCAGGGGTGGAGCTCACCGCAGGCTCTGTCACGCTGCACCACGCAGGCCTTGGCCGGAGACTCATACTATCATACTAGACTGCCCAATCTCTTGCAATCAAGGTGCAAGGCATACGCCAAGCTCTCCAGATCGGCCAACCGTGGCATGCGCCGCCTCTTTGGTGGGTCGGTGCATGTCGGTGCCGTTGCTGCAAGTATCGCCCTCGCACAGCAAGGGCAGATGCCAGCCGAGGCGCTTCCGCAAAACGTGCAGCAAAGCGGAGCCTTCCGTCCACCGGAGTCTCGCTTAAATTGTGTCACTTCTGTCTGTTGTGGTTGAGTGGCTGAGCGTAGCTTGGCAGGGTTGATGACACAAGTCAATACGGAACGCCTGCTGCTCGCACTTGAATCAAAAACTTCACTGCTTGGAGTCTTTGTGCAGCCAGAAGGCGAGATCTGGAGTTTGTCTGCAGCTCTTTTTCGGAAGGTCGTGTCTCGTTTCAGCACCACGTGCTGACACAACATGATCGGATCGCGGGGTGCCCATGGCAAAACTCCAAGGCCCGGACAACCTCATCCATTTCCATGGACCACCTTTCCGGCAGTTGTTCTGCTTCTGGCAAAGTGCCTCTCGAGTGTGCAGGGCTTCTATGTGAGGTAGCTGCGGAAGACGGAAGAAAAACCTAGCCCTCGCGTTTCAAGTGAGTGGCGGTACCATTTCAGGAGGGGCTCCTGGGTGATCAGAGAGAGGGCCGCGAACGATGAAGTGCTGGCGCGGACGCAAACGCTGCTTCTCTCCTTGTCTCTGACAGCCTCGAGGGACCGAAAGATGTCCATGATCTGAGTCACAGAAAGCTTGCGGAACAAGAGAAGGGCTGCCGCGATATGTTGCGATGGCTTCTCCAAGGGCAGGGCGATTGCACACTCGGAGTGCTTCCAGGAGATGAGGCCGATGCGGCCGCCCTCGCCGAGCAGACCGAACCTTGCAAGGAGGTGTAGGGAAACAGCCGCCTCGCCCGTCACAAGCAACGACACATCGCACACTCACGCGATGCGTGCTGGATCTCAGCTGGGAACGCCGCCGAGATTCCCTGCGGCAGCAGCCATGTGAAAACGATCATCACGAAAAGGCGTGTCGGCTTAACACATCGCAGATGCTCTAACTTCGACGAAGAATGTCACGTGATGTCATGTGCATCACAGAATTCCACCACGGTTTCCTTGTGGTTTCTTGAAGCAGTAACCCCATCTCAACAACCACTTTGCACGGTGGGACAGTTCGACCCGGTCGCAGGCGAAGTTGTCAGGCGGGGCTGGTAGCCTATCCTAGATCGACAGCCTCCAGGTTTGCCAGGCCAGGCTGATTTTGGCAGATACATTGAATGCATCAACGGTGCAAAAAGCCGTCTTGGTAGTCTGAGTCGTCTCGGACAGGTTTCCTGCGAAGGGCACCGGCCCTGGTGCGGTGTAGAGGAACCGCTACTCAATTCCACCAGACCATTATCGCTTGCTTCCTTACTGCGAGCTGTGTCACAAGACTCGAGACCACACTTCCTTTCCTTTCTGTCCGGTAATTGGCTAATGGGCTAAGCTGCATCATGGGATGACTTTCAGCAGAAACGTTGCCTCTCCACCCACTCGCGACATGTGAAAGCAGGTATCAAGGTGCCCAAGCCTTGCGCATCTCGTCGAACCTGCTCGGCTGTGTTCATGCACTTGTCTTCTGTTGATGTCGCGGACTGGTGCAAGTCTCGGGCTCGCTGTTCAGATGGATGCGCAGCGCCTGCAGGCTTGCAGGACAGTGCTCAAGCGCTACGTCACTGAGACAGCTCTGATCAGGTCTGCCAAAACCCAGCCTGAAACGTGAGCTTCGCTGGGTGCATGGCTTGGTACTCCGGCCCCTATAGAACAGCCGGAACAAGAGCGCGTAGATTTGCGGGGTGCGGCTGAGCAGATGCTGGAAGCCGCCTTGCCCTGTGCCACCAGCGTTGCAAACTCTCGGGTCCGCTTCCTCGGCGAACGAAGCATCGCAGACTCAAGGCACAACCTGCACTCCGACCCCCTCCCCTAAGCGCAGCTGCGTCACGGCAAGGCACCCTTCGAACGTGCCAGGCAGATGACGTCGGCGATTCGCTGCGAAGCTGTTGCATCCGATGTTTCACCGTACCTCGGAAAATCAGTCATGCCATCATGCCATCGGAGTCCGGAGAACATCAGAACAGCATGCTTGGCAAGGTGCTCCGATATGACCCGAATGATCTCCTGGCGACAAGCGAGGAGCCGGACTCGAGGCAAACACTGGCAGTCTGAGAGTCCTCTCGCGAAGCGGACATGAGAAAGTCCCACGCCGTGATGCCCTTGGTCTGGTCAAACCGCAGATCCAAAGGGCCGTCTGCCTTCCCGGTTCCAGATGGCTCCAGCATCTTCTGCTGAGGGCCCCAAGCGCTCTTCGAATTCCCTGCCTCGGGCCGAAATCCACGGCCAGCGTCATCAAACTGCGGTGAAGAGATTCCAAGATCAAAAAGAACCTCAGCACGTCCGAGGCTTGATCGAGTCTTCTCTCTTCCTCGCTCTCTCCCTCTCCCTGCTTGGTTCAGTCTGCTTGCGCTATAGATTTCACTTCCGACAGCTGTAAGGCCAGCGCAGCAGAAACACGAACACCAAGGGGCTTCAACACGGCCTCCCGCAGAACAACCGGTGTGCCTAGAGAAGCTCAGGTATTGAGTGCGGCAGGTCGCCTTCATGGAGCTGAAGGGCGCATGGTGGATGGTAAAGCGGGAATCAGCCTGGCTTTGCAGTGGGAAAGTTGCATCGGTCTTCGGCCATCTGCCCAGCATCTGCCTTCATCAGCTCCTTGCCCGCGACGATGGCCTCCTGGCAGACTTTCAGCTTGTACAAGCGCCACCCTCGCTTTACAACCTGGGCAAGGATTGCCGGATCCATGTCGAACGCGTGGAGGGAGCCCGATGGCGACATTGCCGCCAACATCGCGCGTGTGTGGCCGCCGCGACCAAACGTGCCATCTACGTAGACACCACCTGGGACGCTTGCTTACAATCGTAAACAGCCAAGACTGCCTTTCCAAAGCAAAAACAGCGCGAAGCCCGAACACGGACCAGTCAAGCAATCAAGAGCAGGCAGAATAATCTCCGTTGGCTGTTCAGGAGGGTAGATGCTATGCGGACGCTCGAACCGGCATTTGGCATATGTGGACGTGACGCCTACCTCGACAGACCTCGCAGTATTCTGAGCGGAATGCCTGGATTTGGTGCCACCAGCTTCTTCACCTCAGTCCGAACAAGGGTCCCCAGGTGCCGGAAACGCGGCCGTCGCAAGTCGCGAAAGATGATGCATGGGCACCCGACCACTTCCTGGCAAAGTGCTGGGGTGTGCGTTCCAGGAGCTTGCACGGACGGCCGGATGCCCGTGTGGAACCTTGCAATGATCTCCGTGATATTGAGCTATATGTGCACGTTGTACCATGCGGACATAGATGCATAGACGCACATAGAGAGATAAGAGACGGTGAAGGACTTTGTGTATGTTTGATAGAAATGCTATGCTTGCCATGCCATGCATTGGCATGTTATGATAAGATATGAAGAGACAGGACATGATGTGATACGATAAGGAAAGACATACATGACATGATGTGATACAGCGATGCAGCTTAGATGCTGCTTGCCAGCCTTGATCTCCAATTTGCGACCCTGAAAGCTGGAGCCGGTCCAGCCTCACGCGTAAGCTTTCGAGAGGCAGCATCCGAACCCACCGCGCACATCGTCTTGCAGAAATTGCATTGGCTACTGCTACTTCTAGCACAGTCGCAAGGTGGAGTCTTTCTAGCGCTTTTTTCAGACTTAGACCTAAGATCCAAGCTTCAGGCTTATGGCCGTCTCACAGGCGTCCTTGCTTGCGAAGGTTATCCAGGCAATGCCCTGTCGGACAGGCACTTGGATTATCCGGCCAGAGTGACGATAAACCTGCTTTGATTCGATTCGCACAAGCCTTGCAGCTGCCAGTCTTGCTGTCGAGCATTATGCGAGGCTCGCCCACCTCAGGCTCAGGACGTCGTGGGAGCCTCGAAGCTACTTGCGTCCAGGCCGCTATATCGCCAGCCTGCAGAGGTGGGGTTACACTCTGGCAGGTCAGGGTGAGGCAGTTTCCAGAGTTTCCCTGACCTCGCCGAAAAACTCCTTCAAGGATGCAGCGCTTGCCGAAGGAGGCAAGAACTTGATGAAAATCTCGAAGCCCTCCACCTGGCCAGGATGTTCGTGAACGTGTTCGGCGATCGCAGTGGCATTGTTGTACAAGCACATGGAAAGGGTTCCGTTATGTTCCCTTCAAGGTGACTTGTGTATATACATACATGGACTCGGCCGATGTGGGACTTGCTGAGGATAGCACCTGCCCAGCCGCATTCTTTGCGAGGCCGAGCGTGTGTGCCATGTTTTCGGCACAGAGAGGGCTAAAGTGCGCAAGGAAACGCACGTGGGCTCAATGGGCTCAAGCTTCATGCAGGGAAGAAGATTTTAGTGACGCCTAGGTCTGGAGTTGGGGATGTTGCATCATGCAGCTTCTGCATTCAGCTCAAGTCTAAAAGAGCTGCACCAAAGGAAGCGGAGAAGAACCATCTCGAAAAAGTGCGAGAACAATATGTTAACCTGCTTTCAATCAGTCAGGCAGTCAAGCTGGCAAAAACCGGGCGAGAACGTCGCAAGTGCTAAGTGCCGGCACCAGGCGCCCATACAGCAGTCCGACGTCTGTTAGCCCGTCCAATCCTCGTCTTATGGAGAGGTGTGCGGTGAAAGTAAGTCAGGGCAGCTGATCCAAGGCAGTGGCCCAATTCGCCCACTCGCGATTGCGAGTTCCAACCCGTAGTGTGTCGAGTCATGTCAACGAGGCATCGTAGCAGCGGCTGAAAGGTGCTTCGACCGAAGAACCTCGGTCAGCTGACGGCCCAGTCTGAGGGGACATCGAGGCTAACAGGCACGTCCCGGCCTTGTAATGCTGTCTTTGCACAAGGACGCTGAATTCAGCCTTGGCATGCCGTGAGATCCCTGAGCTCAGCCGATGAGCGCACAATCCGCCGAGGGGCCCAGACCCGTTTTTTGCGTTCGTTTGCCACCCCCTTGCCCGGCTTCCCCTCATTTTACCTGATTTGTTGGCCGCCCTCTCCCAGGCCTCCCCCCCCTTCCTTCCTCTTTTTTCCACCCACCCTCCTTCCACCCCCCGCTCTGCCCCTCCCCCCCCCCTCCCCCCCCCTCCCCCCCCCTCCCTTTCCCGCCCCTCCCACCCCCTCCCCCCCCCTCCCCCCCCCGACCGCCCTCCGACTTCTTCTGCCCACCCCCGTCTCCTTTTCCTCGTCCCCGCTTTGGCTTTCCCACCAAGCTCTCAATCGAGCATTTCACGCGTGCATTGTCTTCTTTTGGTTCTCTGACCAGACCGTTTACGAGACCCTCGCCCTGCCACTGGAGAGCCGAGGCGGGCGGCGTAGCGTTAAAATTAAGGATGAAGCAATGCAGTCGCCACTGGAGCCAAATCTGCTGCCAGGGAAGGGATCCCGGAGCCGGCTGCCGCCTAACAGAAGCCAGTGGCTGAGCTCGTCGAAAGCATGATGAAGCCAGATTTCAAGCCTTTGCGGCATGCCAAGACTTGGCCGATCTGTCCATCCAGCTCAGCGACCTGCATTCATTTTTGAGGGCTTGAGGGGGCCTGTCCGTTTAGCGCGTGACTGCTTCAGATCCGCCTGTGCGCGACTTGGCTTCTTTCGCAGGCCGTTGACGCTAGGAACAGGCCGATGCTCCTGGAGGCATTGAAGGAGGCCTGGGCTTCTTTCTTGTCCACAGCATTCCACCATTTAAAGGGCATCTAAATTACAGCCAAGATGCCAAGTCCGAGGGCTCCAGGCTGTCCAGGCCGTCAGTGTCGAGGGAAAGCAACAGGCATGCCTGGCCGAGACCAAAAACCAATCTCCAGTAGCACTGCTCCCGAGAGGCTCTCCTTTCGCCACGCCAGGCTCCGCCCACAAGCAGCTGCCGTGGCATTGGCAGCACGGAAGGTGGTCAGTGGGATACCCGAGTGACCAGCGAATTCCTGACAGGACGAATACTTGACGTACCATCCGCCCAGCCAGAAAAGCTGCACTACCGAAAAGTCAAGGCATTTACCTGCGACTGGTTCATGACAGTGACACCTGACGGCTTCTGTGGTTTGGTCCTGCCTTCTGCATCTGTGGCAGCAGTTCAAGTGCCTTTCGCTGCCGGCATGCCCTCATGAATCAGCAGTATGGAGAACGGCTCTGGCTGCCTGCTCCCAGCGACGGGCTTCCGCAAAGACACCCACTGCTCCATGCAGGGCAACCAGAAATGGTTGGCTGACCTCCCAGACCCTACTTGCTCTCTCTTCGCATGCAGAACGGCACAACCCTGTGTGGCCTCTTGACTCATGCTCGCGAGGTGCTGGGCGAAGGCGAGGTGCTCCAAAGCATGCTCCCAATGAGCCTCGACAAAGCACCGAACGGCTCCGACAGTCGTCGCTGAGCATGGGTGCAATCGGCAGACGTGTAGAGGCCCCAGCACCATGTGCGCATGCACCCAGCGCAGCAGAACACGCCTCATGAAATCCCTGCTCTCCCTACTGCCGATTGCAGCCATGCAGCATGCATGTGCCAATGAATTAGATGTCCAAGGGGCAACCAGCACGCTAGACGCATTGGCCGGTGACACCTCGTCCTCTGGCCCGGAAGTCATCTCACAAAAGTGAGTCGGGACGGCAGGCGGCAGCAGGCTTTGACAATCCTTCTTTAGCTTTCTGAGGATCTCCAAGCTTTCCAGCCATGCGGCGCCTCGCAGGAGCTGCCACTTCCGTATCTTCCGTGGCTATCCACGTCTCAGCTCAGCTCAGCCCAGCCTTTCTGACATGCGGCCAAGGCAGCACTGTATGCAGTAATGTCCAGCGCCAACCTGAGACTGAATGCTACTGGTAATCAATTGGCGGGTTCACAGAAAGTGCCCACCAGCCAGCGTGCTGACACTTGGAAGCCTCATCTCCACTGAGTCGCTGAAGTGCTGGAGAGCTCTGCCCTGTCAATGAGCGAATTGCGATGCACCCGGACCGAGAACAACGTGCAAGTGCAATGTTGCAAGCGCATTCAGAGCTAAGCGAGCCAAGGATCCCAATCTGATCCGCGAAAGGCTTCGGTCATTGCATTCGTGAACCCTGCGAGAGTCTTAGTAATTTGCAACACTGACTCGTCTGCAACTTGCGTGAGACCTGAAATGGTCAACCGATCACTCATGAGACTCCGGCCGATGGTAAGAGTCTTGCGATTCTGACCAGGAGCTTGGCACATTTCAGCCTCATAGAGCGTGGCACCCAGCATGGCAACGACGACACTATACGATGTGCCCCCGGGCCAGGAGGCCGCTAGAGAGTACGTGGTGTCCAGCTCTTTCACAGGCACCGGCCTGGACTCACCATGGACACCAAATCTTGGGCACCGCCAGGCGCAGGACAAAGTTTGCATGCGATGATACTACGTCTCACCGGATGAAAAGTCATTCGACCGGCCAATCCGTGATTGTGTAAGCTATGATGCTTGCTTTTTGGAAACGTTGCTGCTACTCCGCAGGTTACTGGTGGAAGCTGCTTCGTGTGTGACTGCTGCTGCTGCTGCTGCTGCTGCGGCTGTCGTGGAGAGCTTTGCCTGCATGTTTTACCCTGCGCGGCATGTGCTCGCAAATTTGTCACGAAGCGGCTCAACGTGTTGAATACATTCTTGGGGTCTATCAAACAGTGATTGAAAGGCGCAGAGCAGTGCAGGCGGTGATGATCTCTTTCCGACAGAGCCCTATATCTCTTCTGTTGCTTCATGTCGGCAAAATGTTGACAGTCATGCCAACTCAGAACGAAGGATTTATACCTTGCATGAGGGAAATATGCAGTGCCTTAGCGGTCTTCCAACAACCACAATGAGTGGAATGTCATGCACCTAATTCGGACGAACTACTAGCAGCCCGTCAAGGTTGGTCTCGCCGCTATTACAGAAAAGGCTGCATTGCTACTGTACTACTGGATGTCTGGAATAGGCGGAATAGGCGTCTCGCTGATACACGATGCAGCACGGAAGACGCGAAAAGAACAAAAGGCTTCACAACTCTGAGTGAAGCAATGTGCTGCGGTGTTCATGTCGTGCTGCGGTGTTCATGCTCGTGCGTGTCATTCAGGGCACAAGCGCACAACACTTACATGTGCACACATGCACCCCATCGTTGCATGTTGGCGTCTTGTTCCTTTGTTGAGTTGCAGGCCCGCTCGTTTTCGCTGTCACTCCGGGGTGTACTACGTAGCTGCGGCAGCAAGAAAGAGAAGATTCCCAAGATTCTTTGAGTCTCCAGCCGCCACCCCAAAGCAGGCCGCATCCGGGCTCAGTTGTCGTTCGGGCCTCGACACAGCAAAAACAGGCTCATGCGCCAGGCGGAAGAGCCGCTCGGAGTCCCGGCATGCGCCAGAGGAGTCCGAGCACTCGCTGCCACTGTCGCCCGAAAGCGCCTGTCGCTGGCAGCGCCGCTTCCGTCACTCGCTGCAGATCGCGATCACTTTGCCAAGCCGAGGACACGCGGACATCGCGGCCCCGAAGTGAGCCGGAGATGCTGGGAGTTGCTGGAGCTCCATTTCTGTCAAAGTGCCAGGGGCACTTTTCATTTCAGGAGATCACATGTGCGCACATTACGTGGTGCATGTGGTGCCTGCCAGCTGTGCCAAAGCTGAGCTCCATCGGCCCCTTTGGCCAGCAGCTTTTATGGCAGCAGCACCTGACAGGTACTGCAACACTTCAGAACACAGAAGCATGCAAAAGGCCAGAGCCTCAGTTTGGTTTAGGTTGGGACAAACTGCAGGCGGCCGAATCAATTTCCAAGTTTCGAACTGACTGCAGCTTCCCGGGAGCTTGCTTTGCAGGCCCGACATCGTGGCCGCGCATCCTGCAGGAAGGTTCTTGCTTTCCTTCAAGCTGCGCTTGCTTAAATAACACAACAGAGCCGGAGCCCTTCAGGCCCCCTCACGACTTCAGGCAACTAGGCACGTTCCGACTCCTGTGATGCAGCTGACCTCTTGACGGAGCGCAGAGGCGTCCCAGCAAGGAGAACGGATCTCCCTGTCCGCTGTGCCATCCGATAGACATGTCGTGAGATCCTGTGGGTGGTTGCTGTATGTGGATAGGTCCGCCAAGTTGTGATGATTCTGCTGAAGTTGTACGATGAGGTACAGCAACCGAAACAGAAAGCCAATTCTTAAGCTGGCAGAAATGTCGCGGGGAATTTCCTTTCCTGTAGCACCCTGCCCTGCAGATCTCGCACGGCACTGAAATCCTAGACGCATCCGGCTACTCGGCCGTTTTGGGAGCGATACAGCACGAAGCCAGCGCATCCGAACTTCTGCTTGAGCTCCCTCATAACATATGAGCTAGAAAGTGCCATTGGAAGAGGCCCTAAAGGCGTCTGGCACGAGCGCAGGTTCTCAGGTTCGAGCGACTCAGGAAAGTTGTTGCCTGTTGTTGCGGAATCTTCTGTACAGTTTACAGTTTGAAGCCTTGTGCCTTCATCAAACGCTTTGCCTGATCAAGCGCACTCAAGATGTGTTAGCGAAAAGCGATGGCCAGCAATGTGGCAAGATCTGTTTAGATCATCATCTTGTCGGCAAGCTTGGCTCTGTAGGACAAAACCAAGCTCAGCTTAATCTCGCGAGCATGCGCGAGAGTACGTTATCAATCTACCAGGAATCCGGAGTCTTTCTTCCAGGCTGCTTGACAGCCGGCCTTTAGACTCTCGACTCGCTGCCGCATTCGTCGGAAAGTACAACTTTGGTTCTAAGGGACGTCACTGACCCCCTGCTCTTCCAGGAAGGCCTTCACTGCCTCAGACGCGCACGCTTTCTCAAAGTTTAGCGTGAGCCGTGGGGGCTGCCGAGGGCCGGACGAGACACGCATTACGCTGGGCAAACTTCTTGCCTGGGTCCCGAGCAAAACGTGTGAATGGCATTTGACCAGGAGCCCTTTCGGTGTTGGCCTCGGCACCAATCGCCCTGGAAGGTCCGGCCAATGGCAGGCACCTGTCAAAGGCGCCAAGCAGAAATCCGGTAGAATCAGAAGCGTGTCTGTCTCTGGCATCCTTCCACATGCTTGTCTACGGCATTGTCACTCTCCGCCAGCTTCTGGAAACCTATTGCTGACAATCCTGGGGTTTGGATATCTTCGCTTGGCATGGCGCTGCAGGGAGGCAGTGTTCGTTTTTTCCCGTTGGCATATCCTCGAATTTGGTAGTTCGAGACGTTGCGCCGAATCGAATCCCAAACCCTGAATCAATGCTGGGGGGCAGGTACGGAATCTATAGCCTATGGCGGCTGCTGAAGCACACCACTGTCTCATGTTGCGATGGCATTAGCTAGAGTAGTACAGCTGGACATGCCATCCTAATTTGGCTGGCGGTGGTCACAAAGAAATCAAAGATGGACTTCAAGCCAGATGACTGGCAGTTTTTCTAACATTACTTACTCTTCCTTGAATAACTTATATGCCTTCCTTCTCAAGCAGCCTGTGCAATGGCACGGAAAACTTGTGGATCAGCAGGTGATGGCTCGTACGTCCACACCTCAGCAGGTGAGCTGCGTGAGTTGAACGCATCGTGATGACTGCGCACGTGCCAATAAACCACCTGAACAGCTGCCCATATCTCCCGCAAGCGGCAGTAGTAAAGACTCGAAGCGATCAACTGAGCTCCAATCCCAGACCTTTTCCCCAGCTGCGGTGTCCTTGTTGCATGGGCAAACGGACAAACGGCCCTCGGACCACTTCATGGGGGCTGCCCTGCCCAGGGTAGTCTCAAGGGAGATTTGGTTGCAACTTGTGAAGGAAATGCCATGCCTTGGAGAAGGTTTTCTGCAGCATGTTCTGAACCTGCGCGGATTTCCAGACCGTGTCTCTCCCAGCCCAGTGCAGGCGTTGTCTGAGTCGAAAGCTGAGCCAGGCGCCTGCATCAATATCGTTTTGTCCTCCACTGGATGCCGCGGCTCACTTCCCACAGATGCCTTGGCTGCGGTAAAGGAAGGTGCCATCGCAGCTTGAGGGTGCTTTCATGATGCCAAATGACAACACATGCTCAGTTGCAAAATGCTGAGTGCTCCACACCTGGGCTCGTGCCAATCTCCTCACAAGGCAAACGTGTCACGCCTGTCCTCCTGTCAGCCTTAACGCACCTGCCTTCGGTGACAACAGCTGCGGCGGCAGTGGTTCAGCTGCTTGTGCCGTGGTGCTGAGGGATGCACCCTGGAAGCCCTCAGCATCCAAGATGCACGACAAGCTTGTCTCGGAGCAGGTCTTTCTACAAGAACATCTTAGAACCGTAATTCGGACTGCTATCCGTCGTGCACACACGCATGACTCACAAGTGCATTTGGGAGCGGAAGCTGGTGCGCTCTCCAACTCTCAGCTGCTGGCTGTGCCCAGTCCGAAGTACCAAAGCACGCGCTGTGCGGCGTCGGACACGGCATCAGACACGGAAGCGCACCAGGCACCTGCAAACTGATGCCTGCCAAGCAAGGCGATCCACGTCTGTGGCTATGCAGGATAACCAACCCGAGCCAACAACCAGGCAAGGAGAACGGCACGCGATTCAGCTTGAAGCAAAGAACCATGCGGAACTCCTCTCAGCTGAAGCCATTGAGTGATTGCATGGATGATTTCGGGCCCGGGCGACAGCATCTTGTCAGCTTCCCAGCCGCGCCTGTCCCACTGCCGAGAGGCGGTCCTACCACATCAGCAATCCAGCTGTCTCAATGGCTTTTTCCAAGCCAGATACAGTGTGTCACAGGTCCTCCACCTCACCGTCCACGTGTTCTCCTTGCCACGACCTGTTGTGTGCATCCGGGCAAGGTGCATTTTGATTCTACAGGTTTCGCCTGCTAGTCTGCCTTGCATCTCGCATGTGGCAAAGCTCCTGGAAGAGTGCGCCAATAATTAGGGCCCTGCAGATCCCTGGCAGCCCTTCCCCAACCAAAGGCGACCTAGCATGCCCTGACATGACCCGTCCATGCTCCTGCTGTACCAGCTCCTTAGAGCTGTGTCGGGACACTCTTCAATAGAGTCAATAGAATCGGGAGTGCATGGTCTTGGCAAGATTCATCCAACGTCAAGGCAGGCCCTTGCGGAGCTTGGAGGCCTCTCGCATGCCCATGTTGCATGACGGCTGTTGACATCCTGTTTGTAGAGTGACGGCCGCTGTGCCTGACTGGCTGTCGTTTCTGGACATGTAGCGTCGAACCCGCTCAGCCTCGGCAGCAGGCTCCGAGTAGGAGTAGGAGCAGGAGCAGGGCCCTGTCTCGCATGCACATGGTCTGCACCAGTTTTCACTCTGGCTCGGGAATCTGTGCAGCACGTGCGCGCTGTGACGCGAGGAATTTGCTTGTTAGCAAATGCGTCGCTTCTCTGCCATCGCTGGAGGTCGCCTCCGCGAGGGGAGAGTTGGCATGTGACAAGATACAGATCGACACTTCGAGAGACTGTCCTCCCCGTTCATCCTCAGGAGTTGTTGGAGCATCTCCTTCATCCCCTGGCAAAGACTCAAATTTCGCAGACGCCACCTCAGCCGGACCCAAGTTCAACAGCGGGGACTCCTCGTTCACGCACAGATCATGCAACGCACTCCTGAGCGTCGCATTTTCGCGCTGCTTGCGCTGTTGTGATGCCACAGAATGTTTGCAAGCCACTCTGCCACAAAGGTTCAGTGAGTCTGGCTGGTCCCGTCGCACGAAGAAGAGCTTCTCCCTCGTCTTCTGGGGCAGCACAGGCAGAATGGCCTCGAGCAAAGGCGCGGGATGCCCCTCGGCCACGGGGCCCCCCAGACGACCCTTCCGAGGCACCTTCATCAGAACCGACATCACCGTCGGCACATCCAAAAGAACTATCCGGTGGAACCTGGGCTGTTTCCGTTTAACTTGGAAAGAGACTTCCACTGACTTCCACACTGCCGCCGGAGGGTGGCCGCTCTGCAAAGTACGAGTTCAGGCTGCCCGCGACGTTGAGGTACGGCATGACATTCAGATTCAGAAGTGGCTGGTAGCCGTGGGCATCCAGCACGTAGTCCATTCTTAGAGTTGCGAGCGGAAAACCGAAGATGCAGAATCTTGCAAAAATCACGGATGAACCGAGCTGCTGCGCGGTGGGCCCAGCCTCCTCCAGTACCTTCAAGATGACGCCAGGGCAACGCAAAAAACACAGGATGCAGTGCCCCGGGGCCCGTCGCAGCCTTCTGACGATTCCCCTCCTCTCAAGGTGTGTGGACCCCCGGGGCGGCACTAAGGGCTGCCTTCCAGGCCCGATGAGCACCCACACCTTGTATCGTCAGCTGCGGCGGGGTGACAGTGCCCCTCCATTGGCTCCTTAAATTCCAGGCCTCCTCGCCCATCTTCTTGCCAGTCCGCGCTCATCCATCCGTTCAGCCGCCTCCCTAGTTTCCGCCATGCGCTCACATGTAGTGTCTACCTACTTGCGTGTATTCATTCTGCCTTTCGCTCCTTTGTCGCAATCCGGTATGCCTCTCTTCCCTCGCATCACCACCGAGCTGGCGGACATGATCACCTGCTGGTCGCAAGGGCCTTCGTTGACCGCCTCGATTGCCTACCGGATGGCCTTCCTCCCTCACTGCGCAACTTCAGCTGCGACCTGAGCTTCGCAGGCACTTCTCCGCGCTCCACGGGTTGGACGTGTGGCTCATTGCTCACAAGCATGGACCCTACACTGGACAACTTCACCGCTCACCTTGGCCGTATAAGACGACAATTTGAAAATTTGTTTTACGAATAAAAAAATCCCAATATTGCAATTTTAGTGAATTTAAATTCAATTATCTCATCACCGCTGCTCCCTGACATGCTCATGCGCAGCCCACTCCCCCTCGCGCCGACTCACGGGGGTCTGGTCAACCGACCTCTGCAGGTTACTTAGGTTCGCCTCCACTTCCTCGACGAGTGTTTGCGTTATCTCACCTTCGCATCCACTCCCTCGAGTAGAATCCTGTGTGATCCCAGTCGGCCCCTCTCGCCGTTCCTGGGAGTCTGGGCATCCGATTCTTTAGTAACAGGCCCCTTAGGTTCGGCACCTCCTCGACGCGTGCCTACCAAGTCACCCCCTCCAGTCACACACACGGTTCTGGGTAACCGACTTCTGTAGGTTTCCTAGCGTTGTCTCCTCTTCCTCGACGTGTGTTAGCGCTCTTTGAGAGCGGATAGTGAAGGACTCCCCCTGTCGTTCCAGACCCTGCTCGCTTCGACATCGGGGATCTGGGTAAACGACCTGCGTATGGACGTCGTTCCGCTTCATTCCATTTCGTCCACCACGCAGCTCCTCATGTCGTTCCAGACGCCCCTTCCCACCCCGAGGTGGCGGGTCTTGGTAAACGACCCGCGTGTGGCCGTAGTTCCGCTTCTTTCCATTTCGTCCACCACGCAGCTCCTATGTCGTTCCAGGCCCCACTTCCCACCCCGAGGTGGCGGGTCTTGGTAAACGACCCTCGTCAGGCCGTAGCTCCGCTTCTTTCCATCTCGTCCAACACGCAGCTCCTCTTGTCGTTCCAGACCCACCTTCCCACCCCACGAGGTGGCGGGTCTTGGTAAACGACCCGCGTATGGCCGTAGCTCCGCTTCTTTCCGTTTCCTCCACCACGCAGCTCTTCATGTCGTTCCAGACCCCTCTTCTCACCCCGAGGTGGCGGGTCTTGGTAAACGGCCCGCGTATAAGGCCGTAGCTCCGCTTCTTTCCGTTTCCTCCACCACGCAGCTCCTCATGTCGTTCCAGACCTCCGAGGTGGCGGGTCTTGGTAGTTCCGCTTCTTTCAATTTCGGCCACCACGCAGGTCCTCATGTCGCTCCATACCCCCCTTCCCAGCCCGAGGGGTCTTGGTAAACGACCCGCATAAGGCTGTAGTTCCGCTTCTTCCCATTTAGTCCACCACGCAGCTCCTCATGTCGTCCCAGACCCCCCTTCCCACCCCGAGGTGGCGGGTCTTAGTCTTGGTAAACGACCTGCGTCAGGCCGTAGCTCCACTTCATTCCATTTCGGCCACCTGTCGTTCCAGACCCCCTTCCCACCCCGAGGTGGCGGGTCTTGGTAAACGACCCGTGTAAGGCCGTAGTTCCGCCTCAATCCATTTCGTCCACCAAGCAGCGCCCCTCATGACCTCGTGGCGGGTCTTGGTAAACGACCCGCGTATAAGGCCGTAGCTCCGCTTCTTTCCGTTTCCTCCACCACGCAGCTCCTCATGTCGTTCCAGACCTCCCTTCCCACCCCGAGGTGGCGGGTCTTGGTAAACGACCCGCGTATGGCCGTAGTTCCGCTTCTTTCAATTTCGGCCACCACGCAGGTCCTCATGTCGCTCCATACCCCCCTTCCCACCCCGAGGTGGCGGGTCTTGGTAAACGACCCGCATAAGGCTGTAGTTCCGCTTCTTCCCATTTAGTCCACCACGCAGCTCCTCATGTCGTCCCAGACCCCCCTTCCCACCCCGAGGTGGCGGGTCTTAGTCTTGGTAAACGACCTGCGTCAGGCCGTAGCTCCACTTCATTCCATTTCGGCCACCTGTCGTTCCAGACCCCCCTTCCCACCCCGAGGTGGCGGGTCTTGGTAAACGACCCGTGTAAGGCCGTAGTTCCGCCTCAATCCATTTCGTCCACCAAGCAGCGCCCCTCATGTCGTCCCAGTCCCCCCTTCTCTCCCCGGTTTGTTAAATCCCGGCCGTAGCTCCGCTTCCTCCATCGCGTCCACCACACAGCGCTCCCCAAGTCGTTCCAGACCCGCTTCTAGCTCCCAGATCGGGGACCTGGGTAAACGACCCGCGCACGGCAGTAGCTCCGCTTCTTTCTGTCGCAGTATGCATCGCTCCTCACGTCGTTCCAGACACCGCTTCTCGCAAGGCCGTATAGTCTCGCTCCGAGAATGTACGTTTCTCGTGAAGCCGTAGCCGCTACCCCGATTCTTACCATTACATGCCAGGCCTCGGTTTCGAGTCCGGCTCAGCTGGGCCCCCCGCCTCTACGCGTCCGCGAGTGCATCGTCCTTCCATGTCCTTCCCCTTCTCCAGTTACCCACTTTGCGTCGCCCCCCCGCTCTTCTGGCCCAAACCCCCCTTTCCGGGCTGATAACCCAGACTTGGGCCACTTCCGGCGGGTTTCAGGCTCCCCATTTCTTTCGGGACCAGTCCGTGCCGGTCTCGGCCTTCGTTTCCACTTATAGTCCAGACTCTAGTTCAAGCCCCCTCTGGAACCTCCCGCGGAGGGGGCCGATGACGCTTGCGGAGGCCCCCCGAGATGCTGGGCGGGGAAGAGTGGTGGAGGCCGCGGGTACTGCTGCAGGTCGAACCCTACCTACCACAGGATGCAGTGACTGACTGTCACTTACGGCGGAACCTTGTGCCAGACACATGCCAAGATGACTCCGGCGACTTCACCGCGGCGCTGGTTCACGCAGCCCGAGTAGACCAAAGGCCTGTGAAGGATCAAGACATACAAGTATCAAGACTCTGTCAGACCTTCCTTCATATGTTGACCTGACGAAGTCGTCTAGCACATACAGACCGTAGCGGTAGCACACAGCTTCAGGAACGATGGGCCTCGACTCTTGGCCGATTGCAATGACCCGAGTTTCTGCGGTTGGCAAGCTCTCGGCTTGTGACTGCAACCAACCGTCCAAAGTGTCCCGCCTGCAATCACAAGCAGCGCGGACGCGGACCAGGGCTGTGACACTTTGCAACCCCCCCACTTCGCAGCCAATCAGCTTCCAAACAACTGAGTCTTTGAGCTTCTTGGCAGCCAGCTCTTCGTCACCTGCAGGTCGCGCATTTCAGCATCCCATGTTCCCTCGTGTCATCTCGTGTCGAACCTTCAGTGGCTCGAAGCATCCTCTGTACATGGCCAATGCTGATCCAGCTTGCCGATCCGTCTGGAAAATCCTGTACGACTTCGGTAACCACGGCATCCAGATCGCTTCCCTGGGCAACAAGCAAATAGAGTCTAGAGACAAACTGACCAAATGCTTTGCTTCCGCTGTTGCGGCTTTGGTGCTGAAGGCGTCGAGTCCTCACTGCGGAGGCCCGATGGCGGCTCTTCCTTCTCCATCTGAGGGATTGACAGCGGCTTTATGCAACTTTTCTCTTCGTGAAAAGAAGAGCCTCTGGGACGGAGAACCGCCTCCGGATGCGGAGGTGAAGGCAAGCAGCTTCTGAGCCAAACACCCAGAAAACAGAAGCAACCGGAGCTGGACAGCTGCCGGGCCAATCTTCACGATGCAGACTATGACTATGACTGTGACTTCGTCTGTTCAGCTCCGCTGTTGAGCACCAAGGGCTCTCACAAAACAACAACACCCCAATCCCGTACTCTCGGCCGGCGAGACGCTGTGCTGTCGACTGAGCCACTGGCGGTGTCCCTCTGTGCCTCGACGAAGCACAGTGGCGCACACTCCTACTCCTACTCTCCCTAGCTATTCTAAGGTTCTCAATGTCGTTACAGAGCGGATGCCTTCTTCTTGGAGGTTTGCCAACTGCCACGAAAGAAGTGCGGGACCTCGGTAGCGAGTCATGGTCAAGAGTTGTTACTGCAGTCGGCCGCACGACACAATCCACCTCCTTGAAGATGAAAGACACGACGGCACGGAATCTGAGCTAAGAGTCATTGCCCATTCTCTCAACGCACACGGTCTTTCTGCAAGACCATGCGGGGCTCGCACTGAAGTAGCGAATCCTCCTGTATGCGGTTCTCGAAATTCCACCTCGCATTATGCTGCAAAGAGGAACAAGGCATGGAGCGCCCAAGTCTCCAGACTGGGCTCGTCGCATCAGTATCCGCGCATGCGGGGGAAAGTCAGAACAGCTTTGGACGTACTCCTTGCAGTGTGGCGCAACTGTGCTGAGATGGGAAAGGTTCGGAACCGCATGGCCTGCAGGATCGACACTGCATTGTGCATTCCTTCTCCAACGACATCCTGACCTCCACACGCTTTGTCTTTCTGCAGGCGGAATTCTGCAGACGGAAAGCCACAAGACCCTACACAGCCACAGCACGCCACAACACCAACCACCAGGGAGTCCCGTTTCTTGTCGCCTTGCATGGATCCTGTAGGCCCCCACACGCTACATCAGCTACATTCTTGACAAAGCACTGCGGCGAAGGCCAACACCCACCATGAAAACCCCGGAAGCGCGTTGCTTCTGCACATCGTCCCGATGCAAAAGCAAGCATGTATCGGCACAAAGCATAATTTTTGCACCGCATGGACAGCTTCGCTGAGTCTTGTGCTCATGCGTTTGAAGCTTGTAGTTGGCTGTCGACCTCAACGATCGTAGCGTAGTCCACGGAATCATGGAGTCCTGCGTCTCCCTCTCCGATGCCACCAAATGGTGCGTTGCTCGCAAGCTGTTGTACACCATGGACCATCGCAGATATTGCGCAGTGCTCTGCATCCATGCCACCATCTTTGCAGTGGCTTGGTGCATTCGCTGCAGGGTCTGCCCAAAGACCAATATTTCGCCTGCATCGGCATCAGTAGGACATACGCAAATAGCCATACGGCCCGAAACTATGACACAAAAGCCTATCCAACCACACTGAAAGCCCACATCCAAGACTTCAGGCATCAGGGCCTTGCGCAGTGTCGAAATCTCTTCTGCCATGGCCACCCGGGCAAAGATGGCGGTAGATTCGGGACCATGTCAAAGGTGGAATCCTTGCTGGCGAGGTAGCGGACGAAACGCACGCTGGCAGGCAATGTGCTCGTCAAGTACCTGCGCCACCGCGCTATAGTTGCATTACATACGCCTACCGAATGCCAACCCATGTAGTGAGCCTTACGGTCGAGTTTGAGATATCTTGATTGCAATGTTCAGATCTAGGGTGCCCAAATGCAGTGGGTTCGGATTTGCTACCTCGCGATTCTGACATTGCTTCAGTTGTGCCTGCATTGGGCGCTGGTCAACCACCATGGACGTGGACAGCCCGCAGTGAACGTGTACTTCGCCTGATGCCCATCCATACCTGCCGGGCTCTTAAGATGGAAAAGTGAGAGGCTTCAGCGTGGAACTGCTCGAAACGTGCCTGCCATATCGTCCAAGGCGGCATAATTTGCCAGGACCCCACCGAGTGAATGACCCGTGTAATACATTTCTTTAGGATCACAATCTCCGCTTTGGTACGCATCGCGAATCGCCTTCTTTAGACCTTGCTCCAGCAATCGATAGCCGCGCAGCCAGGAGCTGGCGACCAGAATCTTGTGCTTCGAAAAGAACTCCTTCGCATTGATGGAATTGAAGTTAGCCTGCCAGCCTCGCGGGTTCGCCGTCCCACGAAAGGCAACCCAGCACTTGCCGGCGAACTGGCCATCCTCGCTGCGTATCAGCCGCGCCAACATGAAGTCCGCGCCATCCGTATCCGGCCCTGGTACTTCTTTCAGGACGCGGCCGCACGCGCTGGGCTCCGATGCGCTTTGGTAAGTGGACGCCGCGCACTGCAAACCCCGGACGGACAGTGCCCATTCTTGAGGGGACAACTGCGTTAAGTCATCCGTGGGCCCGCGGGGAATCGACGCTGATGCGTTGGCATTGGCCTTCCGCAGCTGTAGCAAGGGGCACTCCTCCGCCTCAAGCTCGCTGTTCACCAGCAGCACCAGAAGAGGGAGCGCAGCCAAGTTACGGGCCATTGCTCCCCAGAATCTGTGTGAGCCTAAACCACTCATGGTCAGCTGAACCTGTTCCAAGACACAGGCCGAACCATTACATCGATGAGAATGAACTGTCAGCGGCAACTCTTTTGGGCGCAATGCTCGCGGGGTCAAGCTCAGGAAGGTAGACTCCCGGGACTGCAGTACAAGCACTGCAGCCACGCGCATTCACCACAACTATATGTACGATCATGTACGACGACGCAGACAAAAGACTTACCGTTGCGGGCAAGGTTTGGAGATCTCTTCTATCATGCGGTGGCATGCGAGAAGAGAGCTCCAGGCCTTTCCGGCGCCCATGTTCTGCTGCTGGTTCCGAAAAGAGTTCATGATTCTCACTTCTTCCTGGTCGTCGTCCTCCTCGAAGCTGCTTGGGGACTCGTTCCAATCGTGCGAGCAGCACCCACATGCACCCACACTAGCTCTTGCAAGCGGTACATCTGGGAACTCCGAACATGCAGTTTTAGCTCGCAGGCGGAGCCTTTTCTTGGTGAGTCCGAGGTGAAACCGACTTCATTGAGCCTCCGAGGTAGCCACCGGGACCGGCCAAGCAGTCGAAGCTTGCGGGCCTCGAAGGAATTCGGGTCTGCTCTGCTCGCCGCGTCCTTTCTCCTGAGGCTCGTGCGCGATGGGCGCCAGCTTCAGAGAGGGCATCGGGACCTTGGCATTTGGCGAAAAAACCTTGACGGTGCCTCAACCACGGATCCCAGCGCTGCGGTGTCCCTCGCTGGGTGCCGTGCCCAGCTGGCTGTCGCGGCCGTGGGATCCTTGCGGGGGCGGGCTCTGTCTTGGCCTCTTTTCTGCTGGGATGAACGAGTCTGAACGAGTGTTTCGGCTGAGAGCTTTCGCAGCCAGCCGGCTCTGTCTAAGTGTTGCAACTATATCTGTGCTCCGGAAACAAGGCTTGCAAGCCCAATCGGTCGACTTTGCCGTGCGCGCACGTTCGTTCGAAACCTCGTTTTCCTGTCAAAGTTGGGCCTCAGACCATGCTTGCAACAGAAGGTTTCTCAACAGCAAAGTTTACAGCGCGGTGGATCGAAGATGACTGGCCTCGACCCCGGAGGAAGCGGTTAGAGGTTTCCACAGAGACCCCACGTGTCGCACCTCTGCGCCCTCGCCTGTTTCTCTGTTCCGTGGGCCAATCGCACGATGCCCCCAGCTTTCTCCGACCCGGGCTGAGGCGGACGACACGGAGTGTGTAAAATGAAGGAGGGCGCCAAGAACGTTGTCATGGGGCCTCCACGTCTGTAGTCAACCGAGCAGCGACGGCATCGTCGCGATCGGCGCCGTGCAACTCGGGGAGCAAATGAGAGACCCGTTCCGATCGGACGGGCTGCGGCAGCTGCAACGCCGAGTCCCATGCCAGGGAGTCGATCACCCAGGAGGTCCGATCCCTTGAGCGAAAGATGTGCCACACCTCAAGAACTTCCGCCCTGAGCCTCTTGACATCTCTTGACTCTTGACTTTTCTCTTCTGCCTCCACCCTGCCTTCCCATGGCTGCTGGACCTGAGTGGGAGGCACACATGCATCAAGATGCGTTCGAAACTCCTCTGTTTGTAGAATCTGAAACATTCAAGGTCCCATGTAGAACTAAGATCGAAGCCCAGCAAGGGGAATCGTTGTGACGCTCCTCGCGTAGGGCATAGACCTGCGAGCTGCAGTACTCGTACTAGTACTATACAGTACTAGTCCCAGTCCTCGGACTAGTACTAGGAGCTTTGCATGTGCAAATTCTCCACTGCCACAGGGAAGCAAACAAGTGAGTTTAGGGGCGCCTGGCAGGGTTCCAATCCGGTGCTCGTGCAGTACTACGGCACTGCAAGAAAGTATCAACCTTACTTGTCCAAGTTCGCGGCGCCATTGATCCCGAGGTGGTCGCCATCCTTCCTCTTCATCATTCCGGACTGGCAGCACGATATACTGCCCCACGCGAAGACTGTCTTGCACGCCCATGGGGCCATGTAGTGCCCAGCTTTGTGAAGCTTTCAAGCGAAGCTGGCAGTACCCGCGGCGATAGAGCCGGGTAAGCTGCTCGAGCGCAGCAGCCAGAGACCTGGCGCCGTTAGATGCAGAGAATCGGAAAATTGCTCCGTACATGTGGCCTTTCGGCCTTTCCTTTTGCACACTAAAGCCGATGCGTCACTTGTGCAGGTGAGACAGACTGCTGCCTCCTCGCAAATGAACGAAGTGGCCGAAAGGTCTGAATGTTTGCCAGCTGGTCTGGAGGCTTCATTGCGAGGAAGCAGCCGATCTTGAAGTCACCGATGATGCGTCTCTCCTGCTCCTCCTTTGCGGTGTGGATCTGCAGTGTTTGGACCAGTGTTACCTCAGCAATGTAAGGGTGCCTCCTGATTCGCAACTATCTCACCCTTGAGTCCGGATGAACCAAGTTGCCGCGAAGGGTTCGGCTGGTCTCGGCTGAATAGCCTCAAGAAAGCAGTCCGCTCGTTTCAAGTCGCGCCTCCAACCCTTCCTGTCTTTTGCAAGCGAGTGGCACAGCGCAAATCGAGGTGCCTTCCAGAACTCTTCATTCTCCGCTTTTGTGCTGTTCCACTCCTCGGGCAACCGAGTCGGGGCAAAAGATTTTTGTTCCGCACAAAGCACAGGCCGGGAGGCAAAGCAAACATGGTGCTTTGACAGTCTAATTCTAGGCAGCCCATTTCCACAGCTTTCTTCAATTCTGTCGCTGTGCCGCTATGCCCCTTAACGGTGTAAACATAAGAGAGACCCCGCTGCGTACAGTCATATGATGCTCTATCATTCTGCTAGACGCCTGTGATGAAATTACTACGAGCGCGTAGTCTTGCATGTTGGCTGTGCTGTCTCCGTCATAGTTTCGCAGGGATAGCAGTTTTGTCAGCGTGTCTGATTGTTTTTTCTGTCAGGTTTAGTTTAATCATTCTGCTGCTACAGTATATTATGTCTGTTGTTCCAAGTGCTATGCTTGGTGCTGTGGACACCTCGAGTTTGACAGGTCGGAATCTGGGACTGCTGCAACTTCGCGAAGTTTTCAACAACCCATCCGAATGTTTGATCTGGAGCCGCGAACCCAGAGGGCGGTCTCAACCACAACTTGCCGCTGAAGCCACCTCCCTGTATGCCCCGCCTGCATTTCCCGCTGGATGCGCAATTTGGCCTCGAAGTCCATGTCACGATGTGTTCAGTGTTCTAACTTTGAAGTCTAGACTGTTGCCGCCTGAACTGATCCACGCTGTGGCTTCTCCTTGGCCTTTTCCTTGCCCATCATGGCCTGAATTGGATGAGGCCACATGACTTTCACAGCAGACGCAGACGGGAAGCAGTGCTCATATCACATCCCAGGCAGACTTGCTGACAGAAAGGCATAACTTGAAGTACTGCGTTAATGAACTCCAAGTCGCTAGAACCTCTTTTTCGGTCATGAGTCCTGCTGAGATACGGGGCACGTTGCTTGCCGTTGCTTGGCAAGTCAGACGACCCGCCTGAACTGCTTGATGCCTTGCGAGCTGCCTCCTCTTCCACGGGTACAGACCGGGATCTAGAGCGCTGCCTGGAAGCACAGCAATCAAGGACACGAGTGGAAGAGGAGGATGCAGAGTCGCACAGAACAACTGCCTTTTACGCTGATGCTTCTCCGACTCCTCAGACTTTTCCTCCTCCTTGGTATGTGTCGAGTTTGGACTATCCGCATCAATTACATGTAAGGCGGGTTTGAACAAGTCACTTCATCCCCTCGTCTGCGTTTCTTCTTCTTCTTGTGGTGCTTCTGGTGGGCCTGCTCCTGCTGAAACGGCCGCTGGAAAAGTGGTCGATCACATGACATGAGGTCCTGCCTGAGCCTTCTTCTTCTTTTTGTCCTCCTCCTCTCTTCGCCTCGGAGCATTCTGCACATTGACATGCCTTGCTTCATGGACCCACAGGAGCACTCGCTTCGAACAAGGCTCCAATCTGTGTTGGGCGCAGGCGGTGCGGGTGATTGCCGCGGCAGGCTCTGCCACTGCCCACTTTGACTGAGAGGCTCTGGCTCTGCTGAGCCTGCTGCCTGTGCATCTTCGCGCAAGATTAAGAGGCGTCCCGACCCACCAAAACAGACGTTGCAAGTTCGCCTGTGGTGGGGTTGCCGGAGCCCTCTCCTTCTCCGGTTCCGGAGCCCCGGTTTGTGGCTCCGGCTCTGGCGGAGTTAGTCCTGCCTCAAGTCAACAAGGATCCGCGGAGACCGAACGACAGAGCAAACGCTGGAACTGGGCATGGGACCACTTTTTGCAGCGGATCCACCACCTCCTCACGCGCCATCACCTGTGTCCCCAATCGCCGTCTGTGCCCCGGTCCGTCGGAGTGCGGAGTCTGCACTTTGCCGAGGAGCTGGTCCCAAAGGAGCGAGGCCGGCCCGCTTCTTCTGCTTCTTCTTCTTCATCTCCTGGCGCCCCGAGGAGAGACAGAGGCTCTGCACGTAAGCTTTTGGCCCGGGCCTCGAGCATCTCCTGCTCTAGCTGTTCCTCCTTCTCCTTTTGCTCTCTGAGTCGTGTCTCCAGGTCTCGAACCCTCAGCCAAGCCAAGCTCGAGCTACTGCCGAGGCCAACTTCTGGGCTACCGGCCTTCGCATCTTTTCCACGACGTTGCCGCTGCCCTGTCAGTCTCAGCTCGTGCATGATTTTGGCAAGGTCTCCCGAAACTACTATGCTGCAACTCCTGCCATTCGGGAATCCGGGGTCACTTGGCTGGTCTCAAGTTTCGACTAACCCGTCGACAGACAAGGCATAACCAGTACATGAGCATGTGCAGAGCCTCTGCGGCACCGTCCGCATCACGTTGGACGCGGTCATCTCGCAAAGCCCGATGATCTTTCTGAGAGCGCCTATCAGTGACACACACACACGTACACACATGCAGTGTTCCTTGCTCTCAGATCCGTGAAATATGCGAGGCGTGGCTCGGCCGGGTTCGAAGGGAGGGCAACCCGCAAACACCAACGTCGATCCGATCCGGTGGCTAGTCAGTGGAGCCAAGTGCATGCGCGGTCTTCAGAACATGCGGCAAACTGAGTCTACACCCACCCCGAGGCCACGATAAATCCAAACAAGTGACTGAGAGAGTCTCATGCGCTCCGCTTCGAAGTCGGCCAACGGTCCGATTCTGAGCGTACGGATCAGCCGCCGAGTGTACAAGCTGCAGACACGATTCCACGCATGAGATCTGCACCCGAACTTCTTGTACTTCAAGAAATTCCTGTCGGAGGACTGCAATTGTCCGCAAATGAATCTTCACTACCAACCGGAGTGTCTTTCTGTAAACTCTGTGCACATCCGAGTAGTTGGGCCGGATCCGGAGCCTTATGTCGCTTGACATCGAGACCATAACTATGCCTCTCCTTTCTGCATGGCGTGATCTTCTTGGGCTTGAGTTGTGGTCTTGGGGTGCAGTTTTGATGTCATCTCTACAAGAGAGGCGGGTATGCGCTGAGACTGTCTACGTCTCAAGATGTCTCAAGCAAGCACCAAGCACTCCCGGCCAGCAGGCACAAAGTCCCACACCCCGGTGGCGACACTGAAAAAGTGTTCATCCTAGTTGACCTAATTGCACTTTAGAGGGTGAGTTGCTCCACATTGCCTCGGCGCAAATCGAAACGTGCGCGGCAGTATTTAGAGATGAGCAAAACCGTTGAGTACTGCACATCAAGGCATCTCTTGGTTTCCACGTGGCGAGGGGAGCTCTGCACAAGGCCAGGTATGTTAAATCAGCTTGTCTGGGCTATACAGTGTTGTGCACAGGTCTACGATCATGGCATTGGCAGTCTTTCCATTCCCCTCTCCAGTCCTGGCGACGGGCTCGCTGCAGCCCATGTCGGTGCAAAGTCTCTCAACCACATCCTTGTTCCTGGCATCCCTGGCAGAGGCAGTCAAGTGCTTTCAGGTGCATTTGGTGCGCATGTCGAGTAGAGGTGCCTCTCGTTGCGGTTAAATGTCACCAGATCCCGACCTTTCATTCTCCACGTCTCCGACCCCGGTCCCAACACGACAACATGTAGCACACGCAGCTGAATGCTGTCCCCGTCGCTCATCGCCCGCGGCCAGGATCTGCGGTAACGGCAGATCATATCGTTGGCACATAAAACAGCCACAGTCCACGCACAGTCTGACAGGCGCCTGTCACCACCGGGTGCAGTCTGAAGACCGGACCGGCGACAATGCCAAAGGCGCTTGTGGGCGGAAGGGGTGACTTTGCGTGGTTAGGGCTTCGGTTGTGGGAAGCTTCGGTTCTGGTATGTTGCCGGTTGGCCATGCTGTCGACTTGCAAAACGCCATCTAGAACCAAATATAATCTCTTGACGGAACTGCAAGAGTCTCTTCGAGATTTCCAGAAACTGAGGCAAGCCATACCTCGGAAGTAGCTGTTGGCTTATCACCGTCTGTGACTGTAGAACTAGTTGAGGCCATGTTCAATTTTAGCCAGTGGCTGCAAAGCAAGAGCGCCTGCCATTGCCAACCTTGCAATGCAGGGCCTTACAAGCCAACGTGTCGTCGCAAAGATAATGGATGCCTGAATCAGCTCTGGCACCAGTCCCGCAAAACCTCACGTCAAAAGTGTCTCCCAGGTCATTGTCCATGCACGATGTTGCGACAGGCTGGAGAAGCACATCACAAGGCCCCAATGGCAAGCTATGTTGGTCAGGTGACTTGCTTTGACGGCACCAGGCTCGATCTCGGCCAACTCTAAGTCTACCTTTTGGAGGAGGGCGGGGAAACTGTCGCTTCACAGGGTTGCGCGGGTTGCGTGAAGCCTCCAGCTCCAGTTCTCCCGGGTCGCCGGGGATAGGAGGGCCTTAGAGTCGCCATCTCTGGGACCATCTGAGTTTCAGACCAGAGATTATCTCGGGCGCCTGAGGTCGCCACCCTCCAAGTCGGGTAAGTCGGGTACGGGCGGGGCCTTTTAAGCGCATGAGCTGCCGAAGCTTTTCAAAAGCTTCACCTCGCCACATCCTGCGCCTCCTCCACAGAAGCGCATCGCAGGAAGTAGCGCTGTTCCGTATCCATGGCATGGCCGCTGGCAGCGACTGCAAATCCTCCTCTCTGCCAAAATCCACGGGATGACAAAACTCGTATGATGCTGATGATGGTGGTGGTCATGAGGATGGTGATACCGGAAGACTCCAACACTACTCCAACTCTAGCCTGAGAAGCTTCTACTCGCCAACCAATGTCAGCACGAATTCACGGGCCGGGCAGCTCGAGCCGCACAAGCAGTGCATGCCAAAGGCGAGGGTGATGCCAGCATCAAGTCATCGCATTCCAACAGCCCTCGCCTGGAGAGCAAAAGGCCTCGTTGGCGGCAAACACTCTCTGGTCCACAGGGTCGGAGCGAGCTTTGCGAATCTGGGACATCCGTGGCGTGTTGCGGCTGCGCCGGAATACACCGGACTCTGCTCAGCCAACCTTCCTGTCATCCTATTCCTGCAGAGCCAGGCCAAGCCGCCACGATGGAAATGCGAAGCCGACATGTCATCATAGCTAAACGAGGGATCAGAAAAGCTCACCATCTAGAGCCTACAGGAGTCAAGCCGCCACGATGTCCTCGGCACTTCAGCTGGGATTCATGCTACGGACGACATCCGCCAAGCTTTGGTTCTGTTGCCGCCTGTGTGGTTATGGCTGTCCCCACAGCCAAAACGGGTCAGGCTCCTCTTGCAAATCCTCCCACCGACTCGGAAGTCTGTCAAATCTTCCTAAAGTCCAGCATGCTGCGTGAATCACCGAGTTCCCCAAGTATGCCCCTGAGCTGCTTCGGACTCGGACCCCCCTTCCGCTCTACTCGCCGCTCAACTTTCTTGTCCACGCGTCTAGCACGCCATCGGCTCTGGGTTCCATGTGCACGGGATATGCTGCTTCGTGTTCCTAGCAGCCTGCGGAGCCTCTCCTCAGAGTGTCCACAATCGTTGCAGCGGCATGCAAAACACTGCAAAGCGGGTGAAGACAAGTCCCGAGTAGCAGACCCTTTCCTGGAGTTCAACTCAAGCCACCATGACTGCTACCTTTTCCTGTGATGAATCAAAAAGCATCGCTAACCGTCCAAGTGTTCTAGCTCCAAGCAGCCATGCTCTGCAACAATTTCAATGATAGCGGAATGAAGCTCAGGCAAAGCAAGGACGTTTTAAGTCCTCTGCAGGAGGTTGAAAATTTGGAATCCAGGGGACAGTGTGAGAATCCACTCCATCGTCAATTATATATTTGAGACCTGGCTGATCACAAGCATGAAGCGACCTTCCCAGAAGTCGTTGAACTCGCTGTGAGCGGCGCCACGCACCTTTTGTATGAATGTCAATGTCAGAGCCAGGCCGACTGAAAATTATGAAGTCACAGCTGCAACCTCTGTGCGGTTGAAACTCGTTAGCTACTCAGAGGTCAGTAGGTCAACTTGAACGTGTCGATCGCAATCATATAGTCATCACCTGACACACTTCAACTCCGAAGGTGCAGTCGGGTTGTATACCGCGACTCAAGATGTTCGTAGGGCCGGGACCACGGATTGGCCACCTGAGGCGACTTTGGTCGGAGCGGGTCTGACTTTCGTTTGTGCAGCCTACCTGGCCTATTCTCCTCAGATGCGATGGTCAGCACGAACTGCTTTTTTCTGGCCACGACGACCGCAGCCTGCAGCAAAAGTTGCGAATTACAAGACAAGCAAGCACTACAACATCCTCGCAGCAATTTCACCCTTGAGCCTTGCAGTGGAGTTGAAACTTTTTCCTGCGAAGCTGCCTCACACGAGTCTGCAAACTCATGCTCGGAAATTTCGGGGGGTGCTCCACCAACGCTCTGCCCTGCTGAACTGCCGTCTGCCCTGCCTAGCCATTGCATCGTCAAATTTCCACTGGTACGCGTACCTTTGCGAGACGTAGTGCCCGCGGCCACTCTGACTCTCGCGATGTAGGTGTTGTTGCTTCAGCCGCGGAGCTCAATGATATCGATGCGGTGGCCAATCTCGTCTTTCTTGGAGGTTGCGGAGATGATCTCCTCAACACACGGGCAGCTGGCCAAACCGGCATTCCAGAAGGTAGCACCAAAAAGACTCCGGTCCTGCGGAGCCCCTTCAGGGACAACATCCTTCAACAGCTTCTCGGCCACCTAGCATAAGAGACTTGTCTGCGAAGATGAGCGGGGGCCCTTCCATATGCAAATACAGGTGGAGTTCTCCATTTTTTCTGCCACGCTTAAACGAGAAACCTCTCTCTGCTGACACACTTTGGTGTCAGGCAAGAGCCGAGTGCAAACACCGAAGGGCCTTCCGCCATTGCAGACTTTATCGCCAGCTGAGAGGTGGCACAATCTGCCCACCCTGTGTTCGGATGCCCCTCATCAGCTGCAAAGGCTCCGATTGCCTCGGAGGTGACCACACCGTGGATGCACCGAAGCCAGCAACGGTCAAGACTGAACACTTTCAGGAGAAGCATGCGCTTTGGGCAGGGGGCAGCTTCCAGATAAATGTGCGTCCTGTGCAAGTCTTCTCAAGTGTTGTTGGTCGCATTCACCTCATGCACCCTCCTGCCACTAACCGTCCTGGGGGAAACGATGCCAGGTCGCCAGGCAAGAGCGTCACTGCCTCACCACCCTGGCCAAATCCAGTCTTCAAGTGTGCGGTTCACTGTTCGCCCATGGCCCAAGAGGTGGCCTCGGGGGTCACCGTGGCTGAGCCCGACAAGATAAAGACCTCAACACCCCGCGTGGAGGAGCCGGTGGTTCTCTGCTCTCCGTTTTCGCGACGTGCTAGGTCGAGGCACCGTCTCGGGGTCGGCGTAGGTTACCTTGCGATTGGCAGGTCGCACGTGCATCTTCTATCATCTTCTTCCTCTCCTAGGCATAAGCCCCAGGCCCAAAGGCCCGCCCGCCGTTTACGGGCTTCAAGGGGTGTGAGAGTATGATGGTTTGTGACCGAAGTGGCACATACATAAATTTTACATATATTCAAGTTCGGTCATCCCCCATCTTTTTCAAGACGCTCGAATTTGTTCGACTACATAATGAATCTCTTCCTCTCTCTCCCTCTCTCTACGAAGTAGGGAGGGCAAGGGAAGTCGTCCAGCCGAGACTCTCTCTCTCTCTCTCTCTCTCTCTCTCTCTCTCTCCCTCTCTCCATCTCTCTCTCTCTGTATGAGGCTTGCTTGCTAGCGGTCCCGAGGGTCCCCGACCATGGTGAGGTTCGCTCTCTCTCTCACTCTCTCTCTCGCTCCGTTTCTCGCTCTCTGTCTCTGTCTCTGCCTCTCTCTCTCTCTCTCTCTCTCTCTCGCTGAGGCTTTTGATGGTGGCTGTTTTACCACGAGCTCTGCTGCAGCCAGGACACAGGCCAGGTCTCAGCCAATTGCGCATCGCTCTGCCAGGAGGCCCATCGGGATGTGCCCAGCTCCTCCTAAAGCGAAAAGTGGCTTGCAAGAAAGACTCCGTGCCCATTCTACAGAGAGATGCTGTCTGTTCGCAAGCGGACAAAGGCGCCTGTCGCTGCTGGGAAATCTGCCGCTCCACGAGGATGCCTGAAGAATCAGCTTCTGCGATCAGGAACCTTCCATGCATCAGTTTCAATTACTTGTCCTTGGCCGACTGCATCGTTTGAAGCGCTTAGTAGCTGTGCGTGATCTATGTACGTGTAACACGTACGTCTTGAGGAGGCAATGGGCTGTCGGCTCGTCGAATGCCCCATGCAGAGAGCGAGTTCGGTATGCTTCAGTCGCACGGACCATTCAGCACGGCAGCAAGTCTCAGAGTGGCAGAGAGTGGCAGTTTAGTTTCGGACACGAGAATGGGAGAATGCCAGCACCCTAAAAGGCGCTGCACTGGCTGCACTCCGATCTGCCGCTGCAAGCTTCCGGTATTCGGCAATTCACAGACTGAGGACAGGTGCACAGAGGTAATAGGGGAAAGTCCTATGTAAAACAAACACGTCGAGATATCGAACAATGGCAAAAGGATCCCTGCTTCGGGCTCCGCCGCTGCTAGG